CCCTCCCTCCTCGCGCCTCCTCCCCTCCTGCTGGGGGTCCTCTTGGGGGGCCCCAGGTCCGCCAGGGCACCCGTCGGCGGGCAGAGGAAACATCAGCGCAGTGTCAAGTCGGGCCTGTCCTTCTACAGGAGGAAGATTCAAAAATGGTTAAAACAATAGTCTCGGGACGATGTGTTGTTTCATATGTTTGATGATTGTTGGTGTATGTTCTGGCTATCTTTATTTTTTGAGTCCGCAAGAGAGTACCGGGACTAGTTTTGCATCTGTTTGACGACTTGTGGTGGCATGTTCAACGAGAGGCGTCTCACACATACGATCTCAACATCTCAATTGTTCGAGGATGTCTCGGGCGAAACGGCAATGTTGAGGGGAACCTGACTGGACAGGAACGGGAAGCGTCGCTTTGTCCTCAGGGCTGGTCAGATAACGGCTGGTCCAGCACGCCAAGAGCTTAGTGGTTGCTTGTGGTTGTTGTGGTTACTCTAGTGCAAGCGTGCGTGTATACTCGCGTTCCTGTGAATGTGCCTGTGTGAGCGGCTGTGTGCGTGTGCGCGCGCGTGCCAGGGCTGTGTTATGGGAGCGACGGGAGGGGGGATGTGCGGCGTGCGTGCGGGATGTGTTATGGGGGCGACGGGCGGGGGGGATGTACGGCGTGCGTGCGGGATGTGTTATGGGGGCGACGGGCGGGGGGGGATGTGCGGCGTGCGTGCGGGATGTGTAGTGGGGGCGACGGGCGGGCGGGATGTACGGCGTGCGTGCGGGATGTGTTATGGGGGCGACTGGCGGGGGGGGGGTGTACGGCGTGCGTGCGTGATGAAAGAGGAAGAGAATGAGGAGGAGGAGGAGGAGGAGGAGGGGGAGGAGGAGGAGGAGGAGGAGAAGGGGGAAGAAGAGAAGGGGGAGGATAACGGAGGAGACGGAGGAGAGACGGAGGAGACCCCAGAAACGGAGGAGATGTCAGAGACGGAGGGGACGGAGACCTCAGAGACGGAGGATACCTCAGAGCGGAGGAGACGGAAGAGACGGAGGAGACAGGACCTCGAGCTAGGGTGTTGCGAAGGCAGTTGTTTTTTTTTGTTCCGAGGATGTCTCGAGCGAAAGCCTCTCGTTGAAGGGAAGACGCCTTCACCGCACGGCTTCAACATCTCTATGTTTCGAGGGTCTCGAGCGAAGCGGCAATGTCCAACGATTCGCTGCATTTCGTGAGAGAGCTCCGAAACTCATGTTTCGAGGATGTCTTGAGCGAGAGCCTCATTTTTAACGACAGACGTCTTAACCACACGGCTTCAACACTTCAATGTTTCGAGGATCCCGAGCGAAACGGCAATGTCCAACGATTCGTTGCATTTCGTGAGCGAGCTCCGAAATTCATGTTTCGAGGATGTCTTGAGCGAAAGCCTCAGGTTTTACGAAAGGCGTCTCAAACATACGATCTCAACATCTCAATTGTTCGAGGATTTCTCGAGCGAATCGGCCATGTTGAGGGGAACCCACCCGGACAGGAACGGGAAGCGCCGCTTCTCTGAGTTTGCGTGCGCACGCGCTCATGGATTCGCACCCAGAACAATTCTGCGCAAGTGGGGTGCAGTTGCATAGACTCCCTAGATGCCCTGGTGGTTGCTGCTTCTAACTTTGTCCACACGGCGTGTCAGATAGCGCATGGTGCAGTACGCCAAGAGCTTAGTGGTTGCTTGTGGTTGTTGCGGTTACTCTAGTGCAAGCGTGCGCGTATGTACGCGTGCCTGTGTATGTGCTTGTGTGAGCGGCTGTGTGCGTGCGTGCGCGTGTGTGTGCAGGGTTGTGGTATGGGAGCGACGGGAGGCGTGCGTGTGTGATGAAAGCGGAAAAGATTGAGGAGGAGGAAGAGGAAGAGGAGGGGGAGGAGGAGGAGGAGGAGGAGGAGGAGGAGGAGGAGGAGAAGGAGGAGGAGGGGGGGAGGAGCAGACCTCAGAGACGGAAGAGATGGATGAGACCTCAGAGACGGAAGAGACCTCAGAGACGGAGGAGACCTCAGAAGCCTCAGCGACGGAGGAGACCTCAGCGACGGAGGAGATCTCAGAGACGGAGGAGATCTCAGAGACGGAGGAGACCACAGACATGGAGGAGACCTCAGAGACGGAGGAGACCTCAGAGACGGAGGAGACCACAGAGACGGAGGAGACCTCAAAGACGCAGGAGACCTTAGAGACGGACGATACCTCAGAGACGGAATAGACCTCAGAGACGGAGGAACTTCAGAGACGGAGGAGACGGAGGAGACCTCAGAGAAGAGGAGGGGGAGAAGGAAGCAGGAGCAGGAGGAGGAGGAGGAGTAGGAGCAGGAGGAGGAGGAGGAGGAGGTAGGGACCTCGACGGCGGGGGGGAGGGGGCCGGGAGCGAGAGAAGAAAAACAGACGCTAGGAGAAATGGAGGAGACCTCAGAGACGGAAGAGGTTTCAGAGACGGAGGAGGAGGAGGAGGAGGAAGAGGAGGAGGACGAGGGGGAAGAGGGGGAAGAGGAGAAGGGGGAGGATGACCTCAGAGACAGAGGAGACCTCAGAGACGGAAGAGACCTCAGAAACGGAGGAGACCTCAGAGACAGAGGAGACGGAGATTCCAGAGACGGAGGAGACCTCAGAGACGGAGGAGACGGAAGAGACGGAGGAGACAGGACTTTGAGCTAACATGTTGCCAATGCCGTTTTCCGAGGATGTCCCGAGCGAGAGCCTCATTGTTGACAAAAGACGCAACATTTCAATTTTCCGAGGACGCTTCAAGCGAAGTTCGTGAGCGAATTCAGTCGCTCATGCTTCGAGGATGTATCGAGCGAGAGCCTCATTTTTAACAAAGACCGTCTTAACCACACGGTTTGAACACTTCAATGTTTCGAGGATGTCTCGAGCGAAACGGAAAGTTCCAACGATTCGTTGAATTTCGTGAGCGAGCTCAGTTTTTCATTCTTCGAGGATGCCTCGAGCGAGCGCCTCATGTTTAACAAAAGACGTCTTAACCACACGGCTTCAACATCTCAATGTTTCGAGGATGTTTGGAACGACACGCCCGAAAAGGGGGCACTCCGCCGAACGAAAAGTCCCGTGCAATCGGGAGGCAGTTGTCCCTCGCGAGTGTGTTGTTTATTTGTTATTGGAGAGCTTGGCCTAACAAACTCCCATTGCCTTCTCGTTCCGAGAAGGCGCTTCCTGTAATCCGCCACGCGATTGATCTTTAGTATCGGCAGCCAGTTGTCCCTCGCGAGTTTGATCTTTATGTCTACCTTATTCAGTAATGCCAGACAACTCCCATCACCTTCTCGTTCCGAGAAGACGCTTCCCGTCATCCGCCGAGCGACTGATCTTTAGTATCGGCAACCAGTTGTCCCTCGCGAGTCTGTTTTTCTATGTCTACCTTATTCAGTAATGCTAGACAACTCCCATCACCTTCTCGTTCCGAGGAGACGCTTCCCATCATCCGCCGAGCGATTGGCCTCGATTCCAGGCAGCGAGTTTTCCCTCGCGAGTTTTTTCTTTATGTATACCCTAATCAGTAATGCTCGATAACTCCCCTCACCTTCTCGTTCCGAGAAAGCGCTTCCCGCCACACGCTCCCGCACACAGGGGGGGTTCTGAATGGCTTTCCTGGTTTATCATGACAGTTACAACGATATGTGGGCATGTGATCTGGTGTGGAGTAAGCAGCAGCTGGGATCCAGTCTTTGCGTTCATGCTTGCCTGCTCATCTCGCTGGCCGCCTGTGAGGCTCCACGACGTCTTCTGACGCCAGAGGAGCGGCTTGTGTCCAAGTTGTTTGGCTGAAGCCGGGTAATCAGAAGCACAGGGTTCCGACAAGAGGAGGGGAAGGCGCCAGAGCATGACCGGTAGCATGAAGAGGGCGAGGGGGAGAGATGGAAAGAGACGAGGACCAATTGTTGAATGAAGAGGGGGATTGTCCAGCAGAGATGAGAGGTTCGGGGCGCTGATGGACCAAGAGGAGGAGGATGAGGAGGAGGAGGTCGAGGAGAAGGAGGATGTAAAACATGAGGAGGATGTGGAGCTAGGGGGCACGTGGGATATGTCGTCGGTCTACATTATATTCAGGCGATCGCAAACATGGATCAAGGGGGCGTGGAGTAGCGACGGGTCCCGTTTCCGTGGGAAATCGCTGATTTCCGCCGCCGAGCGAGGCGGCATTGGCCGCATTTTGGGGAGGGCACCTCCCCCGATCCATGGATTTGGCGACCGCGCGCCAAATCCATGGATCGCTAATCCATGTTTGCGCGCCCCCGAAACGTGCGGAGGGCCCCACTGAGAAATCATCACGCAGCGGGGGGGATGTTGAGCTCCGCAGGGACCTGGCACGACGACGCTCCGTTAAGCGTCGGCCGCGTCACATTTTGGATGATTGGCCGCGGTGGGGGGAGGCAGAGGGAAGAGGGGGAAAAGGAAATGGTGGTGTGCGGAGGAGGGCGAGTTGGGGAGTAGGATTTTGAAGTCATCCAGACCCCCTCGCGCTCTGAAGTAGTCACAGCAGGGGGTTTTCGATAGTTGGGGCCTCTGTAGGCCTTTATCAGGCCTGGGGATCGTTCAAAAATGACTCAGGATCGACAATCGGTCCCAGGGAAGGGGTCCAGACCTCTGGGGGTCGACGTTGTTAAACAAACACGACGTCGGGGGTCTGCTGTTGTTCTGTCAACGGGGCCAGATCGGCAGCCGCCGGGCGATGACCCTTGTCCCAGACCACGCGCGGTTCAGGCAAACCGACCGATATGTTGACAGCCGAGGCTTTTCAAGACATGCAGAAAGTCAACAGGCACTTCGCTCCGAAACGCTGAGGCCGGGGAAGCTCCCGACCGGCAGTAAGTTTTGGCATCACGTTCTGGCGGGCTTCTCGCGCCCAAGAATTACCATCGGCTGTTCAGAGGGGAGGTTCCTTCCAGATACTCTGGGTAAAGCAGTTCTCTGAGCCAATTGTTGGGCCCATAGCTCTTTGTGCTGTCTGCGTGGTCTGCATTGCCTTCGGGTCGGCACTGGCCAAGGCCATTGGGCTACTGTGCCACCCCAAAACGTTACTCTCGCATTTCTGAGTTGACCTGCTCCGCCTTGCCAGCAGGTGGCGAAGCACACCATAAGTCGATGAGACATCGATGCAAACCACGGCATCGATCTGTTAGCCAGCTCACCCACAAGTCAATAGATCAATCGATACATCTGCTCATCATTCCGTAACCCTTTTGGCTCAAGGCGAAACCTTCTCAGTGCCCCGCCCGCGCTCGCACGTCCCCCGCCGACCGCCGCTCCAGCGATCCGTCGGGGCCATGGGCATCTCGCGCGACTCCCGCCACAAGCACCGCAAGACCGGCGGCCGCAGAAACATCCACCAGAAGAAGCGCAAGTACGAGATGGGCCGGCCGTGGGCCCACTGCAAGCTGGGCTCCAAGCGCGTGCGCCCGGTGCGCGGCCGCGGGGGCAACATGAAGTACCGCGCCCTCCGCCTGGACAGCGGCAACTTCGCGTGGGGGACCGAGAACAGCACCAAGAAGGTGCGCGTCCTGGACGTCGTCTACAACGCCAGCAGCAACGAGCTCGTGCGCACGAAGACCCTCGTGAAGAACGCGATCGTGCAGATCGATGCGCAGCCCTTCAAGCAGTATTACCTCAAGAAGTACGGCGTAGACCTCGGCAAGAAGGTCAAGGGGGCCCCCGTCAAGAAGGAGGGCGAGGAGGAGGTCAAGAGGAGCCACCACGTCATGGCGAAGCAGAAGTACCTGGCGTCGAAGCAGAAGCTGGACCCCGGCGTCGAGGACCAGTTCCAGAGCGGCCGGCTGCTCGCGTGCATCGCCTCCCGCCCGGGGCAGAGCGGCCGTTGCGACGGCTACGTCCTCGAGGGTGACGAGCTGACGTTCTACAAGAGGAAGCTCGAGAAGAAGAAGAAGCAGTGAGATGGCCCTGGCGCGTGGCGTTACACCGGTGTGGCTCGGAGAGAGCTCCAGAGAGGAGGGTCGAAAAAAAGACATCTGATCATCATGCAAATCAGTCAATTCATGAGCGAATCGATCCACATGCACAATCAGGACAGCTGACACGTTCCCTGCTGATTTGGCCTCCAGGATTTGCCGCATGCGCCCCGCTTTGGAGCCGCCGCCCATCGCAGTCCTCGATGCGTGATCGCAACGTGCGCAGGGAGGCGCCAGGAAAACCAGCTACGTGAACTAATTTCCGACAGTCCCAGCACGATCTCAGCAGTTTCCTGAAGGCTTTGGACTTGGCCGCGACGCCCCATACGCCCATACGTCTTCCAGACACGCCAGATCTCTGAGTTTGCAGATGTATGTCGCAGGCGATTTGTCGACCTCAGTTTCCGAGCTTCGCCCGAAATTCAACCGCTCAGAAAAAAAGAGGAAACTAGGGGATACACCCCTCGGGGGCAATTCGGACGGACCCGTATAGAGGATGGACGCCCCCCCTTCGTACATCTCCAGGTTTGGCTGGCCTCCCTCGTCCTTCCCCCCGCCCTAACCCCCAGAAAGGATGTGAGCATTCAGAGCAGGAGGCGGGAGGGAGGAGGAACGAGGTGGATCTTTACAGAGAGGCGTTCGATCCTCACCCTTTAGCGAAAATGCAGGGCGACGACCGTGGGATGCTCGGGGGGCCCGTCGCGCAGCAGCGCCCTGGGCGATGATCAGTCAGCCATTAGAGCCAACATGGATAGGGAGGATGAGTCACGTGCTCCTCCTCCTCCGCCTCCTGCCTTCTCCTCCCTCCTCCCTCCTCCTGCCTCCTCCTCCTCCCCCCTCCTCCTCCTCCTCCTCCCTCCCTCCTCCTCCTCCTTCTCTTCCTCCTCCTCCTCCTCCTCCTCCTCCTTCCCCTTCGGCCCATCCTCGACCACCTTCGCTGGCCGCACCCCGCTCGAGACAAGAGGTGCCGCCACGGCCCTTCGGGGCCCCGTGGCGTCCTCCCGTCGTGCTCCCCCGCTCTGCGCCTCGGCGCTGCAGGCCCTGGCCCTGCCCGTGCACGGCGCCGTCCTTCCGAAGCTCTCACTCCGCCCGCCGTAGCTTTATGTCGGGCGTTTCTGTTCCCCCCCTACAGGGGGGATTTTCGACGAAAGACTAGAAGTACACCAAGATTACACGAAACATGCCAAACACAGCCAAAACGTATTCAAAAAATAGTCTCCAGACTATTTTTGTTGTTTGCTAATTTTTGGTGTATTTTTCATTTTTCGTCGAAAATCCCCCTGTAGAGGGACAGGCCCGATTTAACCGTAGCTCCCACGGCTCTCCCAGCGGCAGAGCCGCGTCTGCCACCGTGGCCCCGCGCGCCCGCGCGTAATAAAGTCGGGCACGGCCCTGCACGGGAGGAAGATCCAGAGACAGTCAAGGGATAGTCTGGAGACGATGCGTGTTCAGAGCATGTTTGACTGTGTTGGTGCATTATTTGCATACTCTTGAACTCAGTGCTTTCGCCCGGAATCCGCCCGTAGGAGGACATGCCCGACCTCAGCCCACGCGCCCCTTCAGCGCCCAGGCAGCCCTGCCGTTGCCCAGCGTGCCGTCCCGAGTCCGCCGGCGCTGAGATCGCCACCCCTCGCTGTCAGCGCTCTCTCTCGGAAGGCACCGACCATATTTCTTGCGTCGGCAGCTAGGCAGAGTGATTGCGCTGGCGCAAAGAGCATGTGAATTCAGCCGCGATGCAAGAGAAGGGGGCTGTCGCGGGCAGGACGGAGGAGAGACCGGGCCCGAAGGCACCGACCATACACTCGCACCCATCCCGGCCAGGATGAGCCTGCCCCGGCCCGGTGTGCGGCCAGGTGCACATCGTGGTCGGCAAACATGTCCACACCCACGGCCTCGGGGGCGGCCAACGAGGGGGGTGATGACGTGAGGGGGGGGGGGGATACAGGCCTCGGAAAAAAGTAGCGAACAATCATGCCACATTCATCTGTCAACGCCTCCCCCTCTCCTCACTGTTCAAAGTTGGCGGTGGGTCTGATGAGTTGCACCTCGACCGCAGTGGGGAGCGTGGTATCTCCCCAGATGCCATGGCGCCTCTTCCGAATCTCAACCCGCCCGCGCCCCCCCCCCGCCCCCCCCAGGCCGCACTCGTGCCGCCGGCCTCGATCTGCGCTCCCCAGCCCCCCCTCCTCTGCTTGGACGCCCCCCTCTTGGACGCCCAAGAGCCTCGCGGGCTGGGCCTCTCGGACGCCACGACCCCACGGACCCACCGGATGCGGGGCGTCCTCCTTCGCGGAGGCCCCGCGCGGAGCGTGCCCACGCCACCGCGCATCCGCGGGGTATGGATCCGTGCTCGCCGCTCGCTTGTTTACGGTCGGGAGCGCGTGGTCAGTGCATCGCTCCTCCGGTTCTGGCCCACCACGTTCCAGCGCGACGCGCTGAGCGCGGCGTCCCGGTCCTCTAGCGTCAACGTCCCGACTTTTTGTGCCCCGCCTCCCGCCCAACGGAGCGGAGCGACACGCTATCCAGGGGTCGATCTACACGGCGTTTTTTTGCGATTTCGTCGGCCGTTTTCGTCTCGACTTATGCATAAAAGCTCGGAGTTCCGCGCGGAATTCTCGGATCCGTCTCCTCCGTCTCCTGCGTCTCCTCCGTCATCCTCCTCCGTCTCCTCTTCCCCTTCCTCCCCCTCCCCCTCCTCCTCCTCCTCCTCCTCCTCCTCCTCCTCCTCCTCCTCCTCCTCCTCCTCTCCTCCTCCCCCTCCTGAGGAGAGGAGGCTCCTCCTTCTCCCCCTCCTCGCCTCCTCCTCCTCCTCCTCCTCCTCCTCCCCCTCCTCCCTCCTCCTCCTCCTCCTCCTCCTCCTCCCCCTCTCTCGTCCTCGTCCTCCACCTCCTCCTCCTCCTCCTCCTCCTCCTCCTCCTCCTCCTCTCCTCCCTCCTCCTCCTCCTCCCTCTCCTCCTCCTCGTCCTCCTCCTCCTCCTCTTCCTCCTCCTCCTCCTCCGCCTCCGCCACCCGGAGGGTGGCGGGCCGCGCTTGGGCCGCCAGGAGCAGTCCACCTCGCGAGACTTCTGAGCGAGCCGGGCACGCGGCGGGCGGTGGGCGCGGGAGGTGCCCGCGCGTCTGCTCGGGGGCCGGCGCGGGCCATGCGCGAGTCGGGGGCAGCCACTGGTCAAGCAGTGGCGAAGCGTCCTGGCATGCCTAGTTATAGGTCGGGGGTGGACAGAACCCCCAACAGTGACACGTCGATTAGCGAATTGTCCGTTTTCGGTTCTCGAGAGGGCGCCGCGACCGTTATTTTCTAGGCTTGCGCCCGCCAGGTTTGGGCCTCAGGTCTGTCCATCCCCGAATAGGCCCACCAACGAATGTTCTCAGAACCTCTTTTGGGCCTGCACGAAGTGTTCTTAGAACATTTCTGGTTTGTATATATATATATATACATAGCCTTGTTTGACACAGCGGGCTCATGTCCTAGAAGCACTGTTTTCGTTCTTAAGGCACTGTTGGGTTCGAAGAACATGTCGTGATAGGCCTATAGGAATGCCGGGACGGTCGGTCCCTGCTCAAATAGGGGAGGATGGGCATAGGGGGGTATGCGTCGACCCCCAATCCGCCCATATGGATCGCCGAGAGGGGCCCGATGGCCCCAGCCTGCCCAGGGAGGTGCGGGCCCACGAGCGGAGGCCCACGAGCGGATCCGTCGGCGACGTGCCGCCGATCTCTCGGGTCGATGCCTCCTCCCCCTATGTGGCAGGCCCCCCCCCACCTCCTCCTCCTCCTCCTCCTCCTCCTCCTCCTCCTCCTCCTCTCCTCCTCCCTCCTCCTCCTCCTCCCCCTCCTCCTCCTCCTCTTCCTCCTCCTCCTCTTCCTCCTCCTCCTCCTCCTCCTCCTCCTCCTCCTCCTCCCCTGGTCAAGACCCGAGAGACCTCCGAGGGAGCAGTTCCGTTCCCATCCCGGCGCGCCCGCCTCCTGCGGTGTCGGCCCATGGGGGCGGGCGGCTCTCCGGGGCCCGGGGCCCGAGGAGGTCGGGGGGCGGTCCTGCGCGCCTCGGCGGCCTGCCAGCCTCGGGAGGCACGCTCCGGCGGCCGCGCCTCGCCGAGGGCCTTCCGGGGAGGCCCGCCTCGTCTCGAGGGGCCGCCGGAGAGGCGAGCTGCCGGCCCGAGAGCGAAGGGACCACGGCAGGGCGCGATCGGCGCGCATCGAGCCCCACTCGCGCAGTCGTCGCCGGCATAGGGGGCCCGCCGGCCCGCCCCGCCCAGAGGGACGTGCGGTGGCGATGCCGGGGCCTATCGCCGATCCATCGGCGATGTAGCGAGGACTCCAGCTCGAGATCTTCCCCCCTGGGCCAGGCCCCCGTGTCGTCCCCCCTCAGGTCTCCATCCTGCCGCTTTGTCTTTCATCTCGGCCCTCGGGGGCGGGGCCCTTGGGCCTGCTTTCAGCAGGATCTCTAGGGCCAACTCTTGGGAGATTAAGTCTGGCATCGGCGCTGGTATATCCGCGGTCGAAAACCAGTACAACCCGACATAATCCCGCTTCATCCCGCTTGATCCCGCTCAATCCGGCGTCATCCTGTGCCCAATCCGGCCCGGCCCGCTGCAATGGCCCCTCAGTCGTGTTTGATAGCCCTTCATCGTTCTAACGAGGACTTCCCAGGAGTTTCCTCCTAAGGCGCGTGGGGAGATAGCATCGTCGGATGTGTGGGACTCTTGCAGCGCCCTCGCCAGCCCCGCCCTCGTCGGCCGACCTCTCCACACTTACGGAAGAGGACGATTGCATGCAGCCAAGACGCTGAAGCCAGGAGGGGTTCAGGTTTTCGGGCCGCTCCTGGGATCGATGTCGGTCGGGGACCAGGAAGAGCTCTTCGTTTCTGATTTGGCGTTCCTTCTGTTAGCACTCATGGTGGCACGATTACTGTAAACAAAGTTCCGGGGGCCTGCGCAGATTCATCGGACCTGCGATGGCCCCTCCTGGCAGCGCATAATATGTCGGATGTCTGAGTGGATTTCTTAGAACTGCGCGGGATCCCCCTGGCGGCGCATGATTCGTCGTATGTCCGCGAGTACCTCCGAACGTCCATGTTCACGCAGCTGCGTCTTGCTCCATTATGTGAGTCTGTTCTACGAGCCCCTGTCTCTCTTTCCTCGTGCCTCCTGCCGCTCTTCCGAGGCTGGGACCCATACACAGTTCCGCCGCCTGGGGAACCGATCGCCCAGGGCCCCTGGAGCCTGTGGCAATTGATCCATACATATATATAGTATGTATGTGTGTATGTATGTATGGTTGTATGTATGCATGTATGTATGTATGTATGTATGTATGCATGTATGCATGCATGCATGCATGCATGCATGCATGTATGCATGTATGCATGTATGCATGTATGCATATATGCATGTATGCATGTATGCATGTATGCATGTATGCATGTATGCATGTATGCATGTATGCATATATGTATGTATGCATGTAAGCATGTATGCATGCATGTATGCATGTATGTATGTATGCATGTATGTATGTATGTATGTATGTATGTATGTATGTATGTATGTATGTGTGTGAGTATGTATGTATGTATGTATGTATGTATGTATGTATGTATGTATGTATGTATGTATGTATGTATGTATGTATGTATGTATGTATGTATGTATGTATATGTGTATGTATGTATGTATGTATGTATGTATGTATGTATGTATGTGTGGATGTGTGTATGTGTGTATGTATGTCTGTATGTATGTATGTATGTATGTATGTATGTATGTATCTAGGTAGGTAGGTAGGTAGGTCGGTCGGTCGGTAGGTAGGTAGGTAGGTAGGTAGGTAGGTATGTTAGGTATGTTATGTATGTTATGTATGTTATGTATGTTATGTATGTATGTACGTATGTGTGTATGTATGTATGTATGTATGTATGTAGGTAGGTAGGTAGGTAGGTAGGTAGGTAGGTAGGTAGGTATGTAGGTATGTAGGTATGTAGGTATGTAGGTATGTAGGTATGTAGGTATGTAGGTATGTAGGTATGTAGGTAGGTAGGTATGTAGGTCGGTCGGTCGGTCGGTCGGTCGGTCGGTCGGTAGGTAGGTAGGTAGGTAGGTAGGTATGTGTATAGATGTATATATATATATATATACATAGATGTATTGTGGCCACGGTAGGGCGCAAATGACCATCACCGTTTCCTGGGGTCCTGGGAGATTGGTCCGCCAGGTGGTGGATGTGTATAAATCCCCGCATCGCGGCTGTGCATTCGGGAGCTATGGACGGAGCTGCAGTATGAGTTCGCGCGTGTCGACAAGGCTGCTGCTCCTCTTGGCTCGGCGCAGGCACGGATTGCCCCTGGTCCCACCGCACAGGGAGGGGGAATCTCAGGGGCATCGCTGTGTTACGCTTTCCTTGGGGCAGGCGTACCTGCCAAGGATCGGCGGCGAGCCCGGGGTGGAAGTGAGACGGCGCGGGCTTTCTCAGACGGCTCGGAAGTCCCCCGGCCTTCTGAGAAGTTGTCTAAGGCTCCCCCGAAGACGCAGAACACTTCTCAGAAGGCGCGAGGGCCTCTTCTGAGAAGCCCCGCCGCCTTCTGAGAGGCCTTCTCCGTCTCGCGTCCCCCCCTCGCCCGCCGCCGGAAGGAACCCGACCAGACCCCCCAGCACCGGGCCTCTCCAGGGGCGGTGCGCACCTCGGGGAGCGACGCGCCTCTGCGCGCTGCCCTGCCGTGCCCTGGCCGCGGGCGTGCCACAGCAGTTGCGACTCCTGCGGGAGCTGCCGCGCGGGAGGGGCTCCACAGGGGGCCGGGCCAGACGGGGTGCGGAGGGAAAGGGACCCGTGTCAGGCGATCGCAAGGCATGGATCAAGGGGGCGGCGGGTCAGCGACGGGCCCCGCGTCCATCGGGAATCGAGGATTTCCGCCGCCGAACGAGGCGGTACTGGGCGCACGTTGGGGAGGGCACGTCCCCCGATCCGTGGATATGGCGACCGCGCGCCAAATCCATGGATTGCTAATCCATGCTTGCGCGCCCCCAGCCATCCTGCTACCCTTCCCTCGATTTCCGCCTCTTGGGCTTCGGAGGCCCTCGTCACCACCGCTGGACTCGCCTAGAGATTCTGGTCAGAACGCACCCCGGGAAAGGTCCGCAGATCAGTATTTCTCGGTTTGCCCAAAACTCAGGACGCTGAATTTTAGCATCGCCGGGCCCACCATTCCACCAACCCAGTTGGGGATTGGCCCTTCGAGCCCTCAAGGGAACAGCCTGCGTCCCCATCTCAGGGGGGGGGGAATCGGCCGCGGGGGCCCAGGCCACGCTGGTGGGGATAGGGATCGATGAAACGGCACTTCGACAGGGTATTATTTTTTTGCCAGCGCAAGAGGAGCCCAGTGGCAACGACAGGAAACGACACGACGACGAACGACGGACGACAGACGAAACGACAGAGGCGCGCGGGGCGGGGGAGAGACGAGAGGGGAGGGCAAAGGAGGCGCGCCGGCCCACGCGGCCACTTCGACGGGGTACACAGTCAAGACGCTGAAGGAAGGATCACTGACCGTCCTGGAGGCCCAAAGGGGCTCGCGTGCCCGTGCCGGCCCGCAGGTCCAGATCGGGGACGCTGCTCGTGGCCGGGGGCTCGCTGTGGCAGGCCAGCCACTTTTGGGGGAGCTGTGGTCCTTACCCCCCTGGGGGATCCATCGATTTCGACACCCCTCTGGAGAGATCGTCGACGCGATGGGTTCCCCCAGGGGGGTGAGGACCACAGCTCCCCCAGTTCTAGCTGGTCGGTGTTAGGGGAACAACAAGTGGCATAAACATAAAAACTCGGAGGTCCGCGCGGATTTCTCGGATCGGCGCTGGACCCCCCTCCCTGGCGCGCGGAGCGCGCCAGGGGCGGCGCCGGAGGCGCCGCCGGGGGGCCCCAGCGCAGATCGGAGAAATCCGCGCGGACTTCCGAGTTTTTATGTTTATGCCTCTTTTTGTTCCCCTGGGTGTGGCCATGGCGAGAGCCTCTTCGCTTCTTGCTCCGCGCGCCTCGTCGTGGCGCGAGGAGCCGGCGGGCGCGGCCGGAGCCCCGAGGAGAGCCCACGGCCGGAGGGGGGTACCGAGCGCGGCTCGCAGGGGAGCCCGCGGCGCTGGGTCCGGGTCGTGCCGGGGGTCCGCCGTCGACATGAGAGTCGGCGCCCGCGGTGGGCCAGATCACAGTGCTGCGACCGGTCCAGTTCGATCGCGCTTCTGGCCGGCTCGAGATCCGATTCGATGCCGATGTTCCGACGATCCGATGCAGCCCGGTGCTTGCATGGCCACGTTGTGCATCCACGAATTCCATGGTCAAGCTCCGAAATGCCGACGAAACGAGCTATGGGCGTAAGCATCGACCGCCAGAGTTGGTAAGAGCTACCGAAGCTTGTAAGAGCAAGCCACCGAATTCGTCACGGTAAACCGCCGAACTTTGAGATGGCCTTTTATTAGTTCTCCGTGTCGATGTGCGGAATTTGGAGGAGGAGGAGGAGGAGGAGGAGGAGGTAGGGAAGAAGGAGGCGGAGGAAGTTGAGAAGGACAAGAGAGAAAGCGTTGGGGGACGAAGATGTAGAGCTTGAGGAAACGGACGAGGGGGAGGAGGAGGAGGAGGAGGAGGAGGAGGAGGAGGAGGAGGAGGAGGAGGAGGAGTCCCCGCAGCCATTTTGGCTCCAAAGGGTTCCGCTGTTCTCCGCGCTGCCCTCGTTTAGAGCGCGAAGCGATGTTGTCCACCATGCGCGCCCCTTAGACGAGCCCGCGGCGCCATGTCCGTCGCCTCCTGCCCCTCCCCCTGATGCTGGTTGCCCTCATCTTCCGCGCGCGTGAGCCCATTTTCTCCCGCTCTTCCTCTCTCCTCCCGCCCCTTCCCAGTCGTACACTACATGCAGCGCGCGAGTGTGTGCTTCCGAGCGATGGTCCGAAACTCGTCCAGGTCGAGGTCCTCCTGCTCCACCAGCTTGCTGGCCTTGTCCTGGGGGGCAGCTGGGATTTGAAAGGGTACCCCTCCCCTTCTGCTGCAACCGATGCTGGTGTTCATATCCATCGTCGTCTGAGCTCAGGGTGACGCGCCCTGCGTTGGGAGCCGACCCGCATTGGTCCTGCAGCGCCGAGCGCGCTCCCGGAGCTGCTCCGCCGCCCATGGCGCAGGCGGTCCAGACCGTGAAGCACGGCACGAGGCTCATCAGCGAGAGGGGGCGGCAGCGCCAGTGGCAGGGCGCCCTGGACGTCTTCGAGCGGGTGGTGCAGTCTGGACTCCGGCCCGACGACATCCTCTTCGGCGCGCTGATCGACGCCTGCGGCCGGGGGCAGCAGTGGGCGCTGAGCCTCAGCCTCCTGCGGAGGGCGCAGCTCAGCGCCGTGCCCCCCGGCGTGATCACGTGCAGCGGCGCCATGGGCGCCTGCGCGCGGGGGGAGCAGTGGGCCCGGGCGCTGCTGCTCGCGCGCGAGATGGGGCAGCGGGGGCTCCGGCCCAACCTCATCTCCTGCCTGCCGGTCGTCCACGCGTGCCGGAGGAGCGTTGGGCTCTTCGCTGTCTGGGCGCGAACTAACGGGGGGGCGATAGACGAGGGGGGAAGAGAGAGAGTGGTGCTCTCTTCGGGCCCTGAAAAGGCCCCCTGTGGGGGCCCCAGAGGGCCCCTTTCGTGCAGCCCTGGCTGCCCCCCCCTGTATCGCCCCCCCCGTTCACTCGCGCTGAAGCTGCGGAGCAAGTGGGTCCTCAGGGAAACGGGTCCTGAAGTGCTCGCCATGTCTGACTTCCCTGGGCCTTCCCTTCAGGCCCCAGGCCCATGGACTGCCAGATCGAGTCGGGATGAGGAGCTGGTCCTGGGGGCAGGCCGTGGGGTCTAGGACCCGTTCCCCCGAGGACCCGCCCTCGAGATCCGGCCGCCGCGACGAACTTGCGTCGTATCGAGGGAACACTCGACCGGAGCCCTGGACGCCGTCCTTCGCCGCACTCTCCCGGCCGCCGCGGTGCGCGAGGGCCCCCGCCCTCCGCCCTCCGCCCTCCGCCCTCGGGGGGGCGCGCAGCGAGGCACACGCGCAGCCCACTGGGAAGCGCTGGCGGCGCCGGGACCCCCTGGGGGCTGCCCCTATAGGACAGGCCCCGCGGGCTCCTCGGGGCCCCGGCCCTGCTCTCACGGGGCCTCCAGCGGTCGTGTGCGGGATACGATATCGGGGGCGCCCCCCCGGAACGCCCTCGACGGGGCGCGGCCTGCCGGCAGGCAAACCCCGCGGCCGGAGAGGGGCGCCGAGGGCCCGCGAAGTCGCCGGGACACCTCGAGCCTTCGACTTGGCATCGCTCGGACGTGTGCATTCTTCTTTCGGCGAGGACCATCGAGGAGCATCCTTGATCATTTGGTGAGAAAACCGCGCGCGAAACCCAAAAACACACACAGGAAATGGACGTCCGAGCGATGGCCAGTCGAGCCCACGAGCCTCGAGCCTCGAATTACGCCAGGATCCCGAGGGTAATTGTTTGCCTCGTGCCTCGAGAGGAATGGCCTCTGGAGGCTGGCGACCCGGCTCCTGCGGCACGCGGGGGGCAGCGGCGCGCACGAGGGCGCCGTGCTGGCCTGCGAGGGGGCGGGGCAGTGGGCGAGGGCGCTCGACGTGGTCGGCAGGATTCAGGAGGGGAACAAGCACACAGACACAATTAGTCGTCGATTCCCAGGAAAAGATGGGAAAATATTGGAAGTGGGGGGAAGACAAAAACCCAGAAAATATGGGGACACCTTTTCTTTGTGTGTATTTATTCGTGTGTCTCAGGGCCCCTTCAAGGATGCCGGGCGCAGCAGACCGGGCCTCCCGGATGGGGTCGGAGGATCGCGCCGCATCGCCGATGCATAGCCGATGCGGCTCGGTGTGGGGCCCGATTTGCTCCATGCCGACTGCGCCGATGCATCGCCGACGTCGGCGGTGTATGACCGACGCAGCGGCGATTCGTCGCCGATGCTACGCGATCCTCCGAGCCACAGCCACAACTAGGTTTACGTTGCAACTTCGTGGGACCTCGTCTGTCCCAAATATTTGCTTGTCTTGTATGCCCCAGGCAGGCTCGATGCGGACTCGGCGCGGATTTTGCGTGGATTCGACGCGGATTCGAAGTGGAATCGCCGCGGACTCGACGAGTGCGACATGGATTCGACACGGATTCGATGCGGATGGGGGAGCGACGGGACAGACGAGGTCTCCCGAAGATGCAACGTATAGTCAAGCTGGGTTTTCTGAAGGTCCCTCGGGGGAGAGTCTTGTGACGATCTGGCCGTCCTGAGACGTCACGCGGCTGTTGGCATGCGCAAGGCATGCCCCCCAGGGTGTGTCTTCGATGTGGTTTGAAGTCGGGCACGTCCATCTACAGGAAGGATCTTCAAGAATAGTACCGAAATAGCCTGGTGACGATTTTTCGTGCGTGCTCTTTCGATTATTTTCGATTATTGATTGGCCATCTTTGTATGTGTCTTCCAAAATCCGCCTGTAGGAGGTCGTGCCGACCTAAATGTGCTTGTGGTCGCCTGCTGTCCCCGCAAGGATGCGCAGGGAGGGCGTGCCCATCAGCGCTGCCGCGTACGGCGCTCGAGCTTTGAAAAAAACTACACTTGCATGAACTGTCGGAGCTCCGCGCGCGTATCCTGGATCTGCGCTGGACCTCGCAGGCGGCGCCTCCGGCGACGCCCCTGGCGCGCTCTGCGCGCCGCGTTATACGTTATACCTTTCCCCTCCCCGCCCCTCCCTCCCCCTCCCATAATGCAACGCTCCCCCCGGCACTGCCAAAGTGCGTGCGGCACCACAGACAACACGGCGGGGGGGGGGTACGTTATCGCCCTGCCTTCCGCGCCCCCCCCTCCAGAACGCCACGTATCGCCAGGGAAGAAATGGTTTCCAGGGAGGCGCGTTCAGCGCAGATCCAGGAAACCCGCACGGACCTTCGAAAGTTCATGCTCATAATGTGTTCTCTTCCCGTAGGTGCGGCGGTGGGCGCGTGCGAGCGCAGCGAGCAGTGGGAGGCGGCGCTGACGCTACTGGCCCAGGCCTCAGGGGAGGGACAGGTACCGAAATCGCTACCCTTGCCTCTTTTCGACTGGTTGTGCCTCCTGGGTGGCCCTCGTCGCCGCGGCTGGATTCGCCTCGACCTGGTCAGAACGCACCTCAGCAGAGGTCCGTGGAGCAGCAGTATCTCGGGCCCCCCCGAAAGGTGCAGTGACCACACCGTGTGATGAATCAGTGGGGATTCGAAGTCACCGCACGGTTTTGGGACCTGGGCCGTTCGCCGAGGATGTCTCGGGCGACTGGGGCCTCCGGGGTCCCGCAACCGTGCGGCGACGGACCGCGCTGTGGGACCTCTTGTGATTACGAAGTCACCGCGCGGTCTGTAACCACACGGTCTCGTGACCCCCAAGTGCGCAACGGAAGAAAACGGGGTCGATTGCGCCGACATTCGCGCGTAAGCTCCCCGCGTTAGTCAGCAAGGCCGCGCGCAAGTGCCCTCGTCCCTAATGTTGCTTGCCGCGCTGGCGCGGCCCGCACAAGCCGCCACGTGAGGTCGGTGTGCCATCTTGCGCAGGGCCCGTTGTTTTGTTTTCGTCGCGCAGGTATCGGTCCTTTTGTGTGCGTTGCCCCCCCCCCAGGTCTTCGCATCGTGCCCCATAGGATACAAAGCCTTTCCACGGTCGGCAACGAGGCTGCCTGCAGCACAGCCGATTATTGCAGAATGTACGTTATGTATGTTCGCATGTGCTCGCATGCTGCCACCTGTCGCAATTTTCCCTGCCACTGCGCCGTCTGGGCGCGGCTGCTGCTGTGTGTGTTGAGTGATGTGTGATGAGTGTTTGTTAGTTTATGTGTTTGTGTGATTGTTGTTGGTATGTGTGTGCTTGTGTGGTTGTATGCTGATGTGTGTTCGTGTTTGTGTGCGTGTGCGTGTGCGTGTGTGTGTGTGTGATTGTGTGTTTGTGTGTGTATGCGTGTGTGCGTGTGCGTGTGCGTGTGAGTGTGTGCGTTTGCGCGTTGTTGTGCGTGTGCGTGCGTGCGTGCGTGCGTGTGCGTGCGTGCGTGCGTGCGTGCGTGCGTGCGTGTGTGTGTGTGTGTGTGTGTGTGTGTGTGTGTGTGTGTGTGTGTGTGTGTGTGTGTGTGTGTGTGTGTGTGTGTGTGTCTGCTCCCTCCCCACAGGCCCGCAGCCTCGACCCCTCCGCGGCGGCGGCGGCGCTGGGCCGCGCGGCGGGCGCGTGCGCGCGGGCGCGGCAGTGGGCCGCCGCGCTGGGGCTGCTCCGCGGCGCGGCGCACGGCGCGCGGGGAGCGCTGCCCCTAGACCGCCCCGCGGGGGCGACGGGATCTACCTTCTTTAAGTCGAGCATGTCCCTCTCTACAGGGGGAGTAGTCAAGAATAGTAACAAACAAATTGTGACGATGTTCAATTTTACTGTTTGATTTCTCGTTGGTGTTTTCTGACTATTGTAGTGGCCTCCGGCCAGTGTCGCCGACCCAGAGCGCTCCTGATGTTATCGGGAATGGACGGTGACGACGACAACGGACGACCATTGATCAAAGAGCGGGATAATTACGACGACGACGACTGACGAACGGGGTAACGACGACGATTGACGACGGCGATGACGACGACGACGATGACGAAGACGACGACGACGACGAGGAACAGGAACACGAACACGAACACGAGCGACTACGACCACGACTCGTGTCCACGCAATACCACGTCATACCATGCACCTCTTGCCTGGCAGCACGCGAGTGAGCGCCTCTTGGAGCCTCTGGGCTCTGGGGGGCTTCTGGGGGGCCTTCGGGTCCTTTCAGGGGCTTCTTTGGGTTTTCTTGAGGGCCACTTGGAGATGTCTTGGGGGCCTCGGGGGTCCTCTCCTCTTGGGGTTGTCTTGAGGTGGAGAACTGGAAGGGGTTAGTTCGGGTTCCTCCTACTAAGGCCACTGGGGGGCCTCTCGGGGTCGTCTTAAGAGCTCCCTGGGCTATCTTGGGGCCGTCTTGGGCCGTCCTGGCTCCTCCTCGGGGCCTCTTGGGATGTCTTACGGCGATCTAAGGGGCCTCTTGGATTGCCATCGGCGTTTTGAAAACCGAGAAGGCGATAAATCCAACATGCTACAAAAACCAAAGGATTCTGACGATTTTACTCTACCCCCCTCCCCTCGCTGGAACTGGAGAATTGGCGTACCCCCCCCCCTCCCCCCTCCGGAACCGAAGAACTGGCGCAGCCCCCCTTCCCCCCTTCCCCCCCTGGAACGAGAAAACTGGCGCACCCCCCTTTCCCCCGCAGAGCCTCCCCCCCCCCCAGCTGAGCTGAAGCTCTTGCTCTAGGTTGAAGCCTGAGCTTTAGCTTGAGCTTTTTGACACTCACACACCGGATCGGCGGATTTTTCAGTGTTCTTTAACGTCCCCCTGTAAGAACTAATTACAAACATAAATGTTTGGCGCTCCGCGTGGATTGCTTGGATCAGCGCTGGGCCCCCCGGCGGCGCCTCCGGCGCCGCCCCTGGCGCGCTCCGTGCGCCAGGGATGGGGGTCCAGCGCAGATCCAGGAAATCAGCGCGGAGCGCCAAAAGTGTATGTTTCTTACTTCTTTTTCGTCTGTCGTCGTCGTCGTCGTCGTCGTCGTCGTCGTCGTCGTCGTCGTCGTCGTCGTCGTCGTCGTCGTCGTCGTCTCTCGTCAGGATATGCCCCAGGCCTGGCACATCCTGGGCCCCAGACCCCTTTGGGTAGCGAACAAAAATCACGACGGGAGGTTTTGTAATATTTTCTGCCTCTGCGGGCCCTCCCCGGGCCTCGGGGACCGTCAAGAGACGGCTTGGGAGGAAACACTGGTCCCGGGGAATGGGCCCAGACCTCTGGGGGCCGACGCCCGGAAGAAACAACAGGTCTGGGCACACACACACACACACACACACACCGCCCCTTGGCCCAAGATGTGCTCTGAACTTGGGGCACCAGACATGCATGGTTCGACTGCACTTAAGTGGGGCACCGGACATGCGTAGTTCCCCCTCTACAGGAGAAAAATTCAGAATAATCCAGAAATCGTCTGGGGACGAATGTCGACTATATTTTTGACTATGTTAGAGCATTTTGGGATTGTTTTCATTTTTCATCCAAAATTCGTTTGTAGGAGGACATGTCCGACCTAAGGCTACACCTAAGAGTGACCTTTCGCCGAGTGACCTTTGGTGCGGGCCCAGTGGGGTCCACCGATCGCCGAACGTGATGCGGCAGTAGCGGCTTGCCGTCTCGAGCTTGGTCCCCCCGCGGCCCCCAGAACGCCGCACTCCAGTGGACGTCCCTCTTGCCCAGGGTCGCTCTCTTTGTGTGCAGCCGGACATGGCAGATCCCATCGCCCCGCCGGCGCTCGACGCGCTGCTCCTGGCCTGCGACAAGGGCGGCCAGTGGGCCTGGGCGCTGCACCTGCTGGCGTCCATGGCGGCCGAGAGGCTGCCGCCGGACACCGCGGCGTGCAACCGCGCGCTGGCCGCCTGCGGGCGGGCGCGGCAGTGGGCCCTGGTGCTGAGCCAGCTGGCCGCCATGCGGCGCAGCGCCGTGGACCCCGACCTCACCACCGTGGCCGCGGCCGCGATGGCCGCCGCCGCCGGCCGGCGCGGGGGCCTCGCCGCCGAGCTGCTGGAGTCGGCGGCGGCGCGGCGGCTGGCGCCGCACGCGGGCGTGTACGGCCTGCTCATGGAGCTCGGGGCAGAAGAGGCAGCATGCCCAGACCCCCCCCCTCGAGGCATGACAAGATCAGGGCGGGAGGTGCTTTTGTGCGCTAGTTTGGGCCTCTGGGGCCCCCAACGGGCCTCGGGGCCGTCAGACAACAACTCAGGAGGGAAGACGGGTCCCGGGGAATGGGTCCAGACCTGTGCGGGTCGACGTCATGAAACAGTCATGACGTCGGGTATCTGGGTACCCAGACCCCCGACGTCATGAGTTTTTCGCTACGTCGACCCCAAGAGGTGTGCCCCCATTCCCCAGGACCGGTTTCTCCTTCTGGCTCATCGTTTTTCGACGGTCCCGAGACTCGGTAGGGGCCCCGAGAATCCGAAAGTAGCGAAAAACCTCCCGTCGTGATTTGTGTCATGACTCCATCAGAGCGAGGGTGCCGAACGGTCATATTCGGTACCCCTAGGTGCGCGGCATAGGTGTGGCATTCTGTCCGGCGGGTTCTGCTGGTTGCTACGTTGTCGTCGTCCTCGCCCGCGGCCCAACCCGCCGCCCACCCGCGACCCACTCCACCCGCGACCCACCTGGCGCCCGCCCCCTCCACGTAAACGTTCGGAGTCCCGCTCGGGTTCCTTGGATCGGCGCTGGGAAGCCCCCGCGCGGATATCCAAGAGGTCCGGGCAGGCCTCCGAAAGTTTGCGTCTGTGCCGCCTCTTCCCAGCCTATAGGAGTGCGAGTGGTCGGAGGCCTGCCTGGCCCAGGAGGCCGAGCTGCTCCGCACGCTCTGCGAGGGCGAGGCGCCGCTGGCGCCGCACCCTGCGCTGGCGGACGTGGCCGGGCCCGCCTGCGCGCGCGCGGCCACCATCCGGAGAGGGGCCCGCGGAGAGAGCGGGGGCCACGTTCGGGGGCCCAATCCTTCGGAGAGAGCCGGCGCCGGGAGGGGCCGGGCTCAGAGAGGGGGCAGCTCTCGGCTCTGCCGGCGCTCGGAGTCTCTCTCGTCGGCGCCAGAGGGCCCTCCAGCCTCGGGGTGCTCTGCGGCAGCCGCTTCCCCGGGGCGGTAGGCTCGGTGGAGGGTGCGTCGACCCATCGCCGAGCTGTCGTCGACGCATCGCCGGTTCCAGCTCCGCGCTTCCCCCCTGAGCCGGTCCCTCGCTGACGCCCCCCCCAGGAGCCAGGGGCGGCCAGCGGGGTGTCCGACGAGCTGTGCCCGGCGGCCCCGTGCCTGGCCTCGGTGTCAGCCTCTGGGGCGCGTTGTCTGGCCCTCGGGGCCCATCCAGGACGGACAGGGCTGGACCTTATAGACCTGGTTTTGCTGGACTTGGGCTGTGCTTTGGTTTTCGTGTTTGGCAGGGAGGTACAGGAGAGCAGGTAGGGCAGAACGAAGCACAAAACGTAAACAACACGAAAAACAACGTTTAGGTCCAGCCCTGAGAACGGATACGAGGCGGAAGAAGCGCCCGGAGGGAGAGGTTGGAAGAGCCCCCGGCGGCCGCGCCTCGGAAAAGCACAGCGTCGGAGGTCCGGGTGCCCCGCCGGGCCAACATCATGCGCTCAACATCGTCGACGACACGTAAGAGTGACCCTTCGCTGGAGTGACCTCTGGTGCTCGCCCAAAGGGGGTCGGGTAATTTTTCCAGTGGGAAGAGCTTGACCCCGCGTCGGCACCCGCGCCGCGTGATCACGCTCGCACCTGAGCGCGCCAGGTTTGGGCCCACCCGTTGCAATCGACAGCAACGCACACGCGTCGCACCCTGCAGCGTGCATTGCTTGCCCGGCCTGGGCAGGCTGGGCAACCAGTGCACGCTGGACAGGGCCTGGGCAGGAGCTGGGCGCGCGTGCAGCCGCACGCCTTCGCAGCGCCATGGCCCTGCCACGGCCGCGTGGGCCGGGCCTCCGCATCTGCCGCGTGCGTGTCCGGCATCCCGGAGCTGCCTGGAGGCTGTGACTCACATCCTGGAGATCCTTGGAGGTTGTGATCTTGCCGGCCATGTGATCACATCGTCGGATCCTGGAGATGCCTGGAGGCTGTGATCCCTGGAGGTTGTGATCCTGCCGGCCATGGATCCTGCCGGCCATGGAGATCCCTGATCTTGCCGGCCATGGGATCACATCGTCGGATCCTGCCGGCCATGGAGGTCCCTGGAGGTTGCGATCCTGCCGGCCATGTGCGTTCCCAGCGTCCTGGAGATGCCATGCCCGCTGCCTTGGAGGTACACAGAAGGCGGGATTGAAAGATCACATCGTCGGATCCGTGCTCTGGCGCGTAGCGGCCGCTTCCCAGGCCCCCCCCTCCCGGGTATTGGTAATGGTCGTGCGTTTTGGGGAGGGCACGCCCGTGTTCGCAGGCGCCTTGCCGGTGCTCGCAGGGTCTGCGCAGATGCCCGATCCCACGCAAGCGCCACCGCTCCCCAGGCGTCACCGTTAGCCGGCAACGGCCCTTGCAGGCAAGTGGTAGCGAACGACACTCTCTACCCGCGCGACGGCTCGTGCGCACCGTGCCGCGTCGGCGTCTCCTCCGGCATCGTCGGCCCTCGGCCCGGGCGGTGCGTAGGTTTTTGTTGGCCCCCTTCGGGGCCGACGCGCACCGTGCCGCGCTGGAGGGGGGCCCGGAGGGGGCTCCGGCGTGGTGCGGGGGCACGGGCACCGTGCTCCTCGTGCTCGGCGTGCCCAGGCCCCCCGCAGCTTTCACGTCTCTCGTGGCGTCGACCCCCCCCCCCCAGGGGTCTCGACCCACTCCCCTGGACTTCATCGAGCGCGTTCCACTACTCGCGAGGTGCCTGCTCGCAAACGTCCGAAAAACAAACGTCTGACTCGATGTCATTTCTCTCGTAGATCCCCCCCAGCGGATCCAGGCCATCTGCGAGCAGTCACTCCGCGAGTAGTGGGACGCGCTCGTCTACCCCTGGACTGGGCTCTCTTCCCCAGTAGAAAACCAAGGCGCGTAGCCAAGTCACGCGCCCAAGACAGTGGAAACTGCAATGGTCTGCTGTCTGCGCGTCCGTCACCACATTATTGCCTTGTAGAAGCGATTCCGCTGCAGAGGGGTGCCTTGTTTTGATTCGAATGCGGGAAGGTTGGTTGCGACGTGTAATGTGGCAATGATTTGGGTATGAAAGCTTGACGATTTGGCTACGATTCAGTATGGTTCTGATTTGGTTACGATTTGGTTACGGCGTTCGTGGTGCATCGCGAACGTCGCAACGAAACCGTAACCAAATTTGTCCCCCCATGGGGGCGCATATGAAATACTGACCCCAGAATCACCCAAACCATTCATGGGAGTTCTTGTTTCGCAGCGCGAGGACGAGACTCTTGCGATCGGGAACCGCTGGGCTGCAGCGGTAACTGATTGTGCGTCGGGAACCACGACGCACGTGCCGATACATATGCTGCCATAACATAAAACTGGGGAAGAGCTCGGACTCGAACGTATTCTTGTTTTTCGCGCACGCATGCCATGAAAGGTGGCAGCGGGGGAATGCTAGAACGAAGCGTAGGACGTGGCGGAGCAGGAGCAGACAGAAACGATGAAGTAGACGAGGGGGGGGGCAGGAGGACGAAGACCAGGGAGGGGACGGGGATGGCAGAAGAGACACGGGAAGAGGATGGGGAGTGGGACGAGGCGAAGGAGGAGGAGGAGGGGGAGGAGGAGGGGGAGGAGGAAGAGGAGGAGGAGGAGGAGGAGTTGGAATGGGGGTGGGGTGGGGGATTATGTCGAGGATGCGGAGGAGAAGGACGGGGGATGCGGAGGAGGAGACTCGAAAGGTGGTGGCGGGGGAAAATCCCATCATACAGAGGAACATGATGATGAACCCGATTAGGAGGATCAAGGAAATTTCCCTCAGGTCCCGCGAGCCTGGAGTAGGAAGGGGGGAGTAGGAGGGGGCAGGCGCGGTATGCGAAAGAACGCAGAAGATGGGACGCGTAATGGGACAGGACGGAGAAGTAGCAACACCAGATATACATAGCGAGTTTGACAGGAACACAGGGCATGAGTTGGATTTAGATGGGGAAGATTGGGTTGCGAGGCGGCAGGGGGAGGAGAGATGAGTGGAGTAGGGGCGAACTTGCATGAGGGGAAGACCTGGGCAAGGAGGAGCGAGAGGGATGGACGAAGGGGGGGGGGATTGTCAAGACGGGAAGAGACGGAAGGGCGAAGAATGAGCAGGGGAAGTAGGCGAGAGAACGGATAGGGGGACGGAGGGAAGCGAGGGAGGATGGAGGACGGTACCCTCCAAGCACTATCTTCCACCGCAGATTCCTGCTTCGTCCGTGCAGGCCCCCGCGCACGTCGTCTCCTATAGTTCACCCTCCTCATTATGTTCGTTCTCATCCCAAAGACATCCGAACTCCAATCATTTCTCCCAGCACCGACTCCTAGTTCAAAGTCTCCCTCTTCAAGTTCCCTCTCCCCCTCCAAGCCTTCTCTCACGCTGTCATTCCTATAATACGTTCTGCAGGCCTCGTCATCGTCCGTGTCCATTTGGAACTCCTTCACAGCCTCCTTCCAACCCTCCTGGCTCCAACCTTCAGTCGGGCGGGTCCCCCTACAGGGTCATTTTCGACGAAACATAAACACATACACCAACCATATTCCAAAAAGGTGAAACAAACTACTCAGAAATAGTCCCCCATGCTGTTTTTGGATTATGTTTTGTTTATTGTTGTCGTATTTTTATTGTTTCGTCGAAAATCCCCCTGTAGGGGGACAGGCCCGACATAACTCTAACCTTGAAGCCTGGCGTCAAACCATCAGTGTGTCAATACTGTGATTCGGCTCTCCTGCTCTCGCCGTGTTGCCGCCCGTGCCGCCTCCTATTCCTCCTCCTCCTCCTCCTCCTCCTCCTCCCCCTCCCCTCTCCTTTGCCCCTCCTCCTTCTCCTCCTCCTCATCTCTCGATTATCAATCCTCCTCGTGCTTGCGTGTGTGTTGATCCTGGTTCCATCTCCGAATCATATTCCCCCTCGTCCTGCTACACCTGATACCGCTCTGTCTCCTCCTTATCCGTCTTCCCTCCTCGTCGCTCGCTTTTCCTCGTCGTCTTCCACGGCGTTCCTTCTTCCCCAAGTCCTGTTTCTGCTCCCGCTCCCTTCTTCTTTACTTCCCCGCGTGCTCATGTTCGTTGCCATCCTCGCCACCGCCCCCTTTTTGAGCCCAAACGGAAATGTCGAACATGCTCGGTTCGATTTGGTTACGAGTTGGGTACGATTTGATTACGTTTGATGTTTGTTGATTATGATTTGGTTTCGAAAACTGCAAATCTGGTTACGATTTGGTTGCCGGGATGATGATGATTACGGAGGTGTTCGGTACATTCTGATAGCTCAAGTGTGTGTGAGGGGTCGATCGTAAGCGTAGCCATATGATTTGGTTCCGTTGACTAGGCTTTTTTTTGGACGGGCCCGAGGCCTGGTGACGGCCTCCAGAGGCCGAAAATAGCGAGCAAAACGCCCGCCGTGCGCTTCTCATGACCCGAGGGGGTCTGCCCTGAGATCCGACGTTGCCCAAGAATTACAGTATCGCAAAAAACGACCAGACCCCTGGACCCCATCTTCCAGCGCCATGTTTCAAGCCGGATCGTTCTGTGAGGAGCCCGGGGCGCAAAACAGGGCACTAGAAGCGCACATCGCGAAAACGTGCGACGCTGGCATCTCGGGGGTGCCGGTACCTTTTGCTCCCCCAAAACGCTGATCCTCGGGGCGCCAGACCTCTCTGAGGTCGCGACCGACGAGATCGGTTGCCAGGACCGGAAAAAGGCCCAGCTCGAAGACAATGGAGTCGCCAGGGATCTCAGGGTGCGCCACGCTCGCCGCTCGGGAACGCCTCAGCCGGCCCCCTCTCCGAGCCGTGCGCCTCATGGTGGCCGGGCGCGCCTGCGGGCCGCGGGCGCGCGGCGGGCTGCGCGGCCGCCTGGCCGCCGCGGGGGGCGCGGCCTGGCCGCCCGCGGTCGGAGCGGGCGCACGCCGTGAGGGCCTCGCGCTGCGAAAAAATTGCCCTGGCGAAGAGCCCAACCCATCCTGCACTCGTGGGCAATATCAGCAGGACCGCTCGATGCACAAGAGCTCCTTGGGGGGGGGGGTCGAAACGTGTGAGGGGTGCGCCGACATAGACCTGAGTACGCATGCCCTGCCACTGGTGCCTTCGGTGGAGCTCCCCATGGGGCCACGAAACGTGTAAGGGGCATGCCGATATGGACCTGAGTACGCATGCGGGCCCTGCCACTGAGGCCTTCGGTGGAGCTCCCTATAGGGCCACGAAACGTGTGGGTGAGGAAGAGGAGAGGGGGGGAGGAGGAGAGGCGAGGAGGAGGAGGGGGAGGAGGAGGAGGAGGAGGAGGAGGAGGAGGAGGAGGGGTGCGGCGCTGCGAATTCAAAACGAGGACCCAACACACAGGAGGGTTGGGAAATATCGAGCAGGAGATCGTCAGCCACTCGCAGAAGGGGTGGCGGGAGGGGGGAAGGCTTCTTAGAAGCACCCCCACTTCTTAGAAGGCGCGGGCGCCCCTGCAAGAATCCTGCGGCTGCTTTTTCAAAGTTGTTACCGGCGTGCTTCTCGTGCATTTGCTTCTAAGAAGCACCTCCGTGCTTCTACGAAACTGCAGGGGTGCTTCTAAGCTCGGGGTCGGCCAAGAGTGGGGGGGATGACTAGGGGGGGTGGGTATCATGGCGGACACCATTGTATCTCCCCAGAATACATAGGGACTCTTTATATCCATTTGGATGCGTCCCCCCACCCCCCCCTGGGCCGTGCACATGCCGCCGGCCATGATTTGCGCCCCCCCTCTTGGACGCCCCCCTCTTGGCCGCCCCCGATAAGCGGCGCGCCCCTGGCTTCTTAGAAGGGCGGCCGGCGCCTTCTAAGAGGCAGCCGCCGTCTACGAAGCCTTCCCCCCATCCCTCTTCCCGCTTGTGCACGCCGCCAAGATGGACTGCAGGGTTGATGTGCCCCAGACTTGTTATCTTCGCAGGATCTACGAAACGAGAATGTCGAATGCTCGCAGATCTGCTAGCATAGTCTTCTGGGCTACATCAATCATGTAGTGCCGTCCTCCTCCTCGAAAAATCGCCGGCCTCGTCGGCTCGGACCCCTGTGCGGGGGGCCTGGAGGTTTGCGGAGCTCGCGCCCCTGTGGCCAAGGCGTGGGAGGCGCCCGTGGGGGCCCCGGCCCGCGGGGCGGACGAGGCACGCCTAGGCTCGGGCCGGGGAAGGGGTCCGAACCTCTGGGGAGCCACGCTGCGAATAAAATCGCGACGTCGGATGTCTGGGACTTAAGTCAGGAGGGAAAAAAAAACACAGACACAATTAATCTGCGATTCCCAGAAAATATTGGAAAATATGGGAAGTGGGGGGGAAGACAAAAACCCAGAAAATATGGGAAAATATGGGGAATCATTTTATTTGTGTGTATTTATTTGTGTGTCCCAGTTTCCCTTCATTAAGGGCGGCATCGACGGGTCCTTGCTGGTCCCTGCTCCCCGCTGCCCCCCCGCCCCCCCTTCCCCCTGCCCCGGGCCCCCGACCCGACGCTGTGATTCATGCTTCACACTGTCGACCCCCAGAGGTCTGGACCCTTTCCCCGGGACCGGTTTCTCGTCCTGAGTCGGTTTTGGAAGGTCCGGATGCCGGGGAGGGGCCCTCAGAGGCCGAACATTTGGAAACATTTCCCGTCGTGGTGTTGTCCCAACGCGAGGGGGTCTTGGGCTGCTCCCCGCCGCCCCCTGCTGCCCCCCCCCCCCCCCTGCCCCCTTCGAGTAGGAGATCGACTGCAGAGTTGCGTTACCCCAGGATCGATGTTTCCGTCGAGCCTTTTCAACACACATCGAAACCTCCGTAGATCTGAGGAGCACTCCAATCATGTTTCGTAGACTGGACGGACACTTGAGCACAGTGCCGTTTTTAAATACATGCTCCGCGTGCGGATCGTGCATTGCAAATGCAGGGATTTGGTATCAAAAGCAACGACGAGTTCATGCATGCACTCATTCATCAACTCAGCATGTATTAAACATCCTATACGTTTAAACATCCGATGTATATGTTTAAAGATCCTATGCGTTAGAAATACAGGGAATTAGTATTAAAAGCAACGACGAATTCATGCATATATGTATGAATGCATTGATCATGTATTAAAATCAGTTATCTTTAACAATCCCATGTATTAAAACCTGCCCTGTATGCACTGCACTGCGCTGCACAAGGCGTACGCCGTCCGGCGCGCAGGCGGGAAAAGTATGACTTCAAGCGTTCACTGCCAATGCGCCTGCTAAACAGGGCAGTTGGAGGAGGAGGAGGAGGAGGAGGAGGAGGGGGAGGAGGAGGAGGAGGAGGAGGAGGAGGAGGAGGAGGAGGAGGAGGAGGGGGAGGGAGAGGGAGAGAGCAAGCAAACAAGTAGTCGATCCCCTGTTGTCGATCCCCTGTTGTCGATCCCCTGCTCGACCCCTGCTGCGCCCCGCGCTCCCCCTGTGGGCGGCGGTGGCGGCGGCCCGAGCCCGGGGGACGGGCGGCCCCCCGGCGGGGGTCGCGCGCGCCGAGCCCCTGAGTCGGGTCGGGCGAAAGGAGGGGATTGGGAAAGGGGGGGTTACGAAATTTGCTGCATGCAGCTGGTTTCGGCCCCACCGAGAAGCCCATTCCTCGATAAATCGTCGCCTCCGGCGCCGGGAGGCGCCGGAAAATCAGCTACGTGAGCTGATTCTCAAAACCCCCTTTGCTATCCCCCCCTTTCGCCCGACCCGACTGAGCGTCAAGTCGGGCGCGTCCCCCTACAGGGGGGATCTTCGACGAAGAATCAAAAACGACCCCCAAAAATACCCCCAAAAGGTCAACAAATATTAAAAAAATAGTCCCCAGACCATTTTTGGACTCATTTTTGATCATATGTTTAATTCTTTTTATGTTTCGTCGAAAATCCCCCTGTAAGGGGGACAGGCAAGTCGGGCGTGTCCCCCATACAGGGGGGATTTTCGACAAAGAATAACACAAAAAACAAAACAATGCCCCCAAAAGGTCAAACCAATAGTCAGACAACAGTCCCCAGACCACTCTTGGACTCATTGTTCCCCACGTGGTTCGTGGGGTTCTGGTGTTCTTCCCTGCCGCGCCGCACCCGCGTCTCACACCTCCCCCCTCCCCTTCTCCTTCTCGCTTGCACCCGCTTCTCCTCCTTCTCGCTTGCACACTTCTCGCTACAGGGGGATTTTCGACGAAAAAGAAAAAAACAAAAAAATGCCCCCAAAAGGGAAAGGTCAAAAAATAGTCAAACAATAGTCCCCAGACCATTTTTGGATTTTGATTTTTTGTTTTGGGGGGGGTCTTTTTTTATGTTTCGTCGAAAATCCCCCTGTAGGGGGACAGGCCCGACTTAACCTTAGCGCGCCCACGCCGCGCCGCGTGGTCGAGGAAGCGCAGGCACGGATCCGGGCGCGCAGGTTGCGGGCCACCCGCACAGTGAGGATGAGCGAAGTGCCGAGGTCACCCTTTGCATCCCGAGCCCCTCCTTCGGCCCATTCCTGGCCGCTGTCGCTGGCCCAGTGTGGACATGGTGACATGGCCATGCTGGCGCGCCTCGCTCGCAAAGTGTCGGCATGGCCTTCCATCGCCCTCGCATCCTTACCCTGCCTGCTTGTGATGCGGGCTGACTGCAGCGACGGGCCCCGCTTCCGCACAGGGTCACCGCGCTCCGCCGCCAGATCGAGCCGCAGCGGCCTGACGTTTCTGGGGGTGCCTCCCCCGATCCGCAGACCTGGCGCCCGCGCGCCGGAGCCGCGGCGCCGCAGTCCGCACCAGCGCGCGCCAGGGACTGGGGCTGGGTCGGGCATGTCCCCCGACAGGTGGGACTGGGGCCAGGTCGGGCATGCCGCATGCCCCTCGCCAGGGACTGGGGCCAGGTCGGTCGGGGCGAAACATCAAACATAGCCAAAAGCAGTCAGAAAATGATCAGACGTAGCCAAAACATCGTCCCCACATTATTAGTTTATTTTTCGCTGTTTTGGAATCTTCCTCCTGTAGGGGGACAGGCCCGACTTAAAGCCTGGGGCCTGACGGCGCCCCCGCCCCTCCGCCCAAGACCGGGCGCATCGCCGATCTCGGGCTCGGGCTCGGCACACCCAGACCCCGACGTCGTGACCTCGTCGTGGCGTCGGCGCCCAGAAGGTCCCGACCCCTTCCCCGCGACCGGCTCCTCATCGCACCGCATCGCCGGCGGCACGAGAGTTGCCTGAGGCATCACGGGGCGACTCCACGCCTCGTGGCAAGCATCTGGACGCCTGCGGCTGAAAGCCGTGGCCGGAAAAGTTGATGTCAGCATGGCCGGCTTCTCATCCCGAATCGTTTGTTTGACGGCCCCGAGGCCGGGTACGGGGGCCCCCTTCAGGCCGAGCACATACGAAAACCTCCCGTCTGGGTTTTTGCATGTCAGGAGGGAAAAAACACAGACACAATTGATCGTCGACTCCCAGGACAATATGGGAACATATGGGAAGGGGGGGGGGGAAGACGAAAACATAGAAAATATGGGAAAACATGTGGAATCCTTCTATTTGTGTGTATTTATTTGCGTGTCCTAGGGCCCCTTCAGCCTGACTCGAGGGGCCCTGGGCACTGCTCTGCTCTCCCAGAGGGCCTGGAGGAGGCCAGCCGAGGCAACGGCGGCCCTCCTGGGCTGACGTTCGCCCTGCTTGGCGACGCTGCCGGGGAGGCTTGGGAGGGGGAGGGGGAGGGGGAGGAGGAGGAGGAGGCGGAGGAGGCGGAGGAGGAGGAGGAGGAGGAGGAGGAGGAGCGGGTCCGCGCCGAGAAAAGGGGCAGGATGGACCCTGCCACCCTCGCAAAAATGAACCTCAACAGGCCGCACTCATCGATGCTCGGCCCCAAGTCTTCCGACAAGCAGCTCAGCCACGTCAGACATTTCTGAGGTTAATTTTGACGAGGCTTGTGGGAGGGCTCGGGGGGCCGATCTGGAGCGGATCTGGCCCGCGGGCCCGAGGTGTCGCGACCATTGCCGCCCGGAGGGGGCCCTACACGCTCTTCGCCTCTGGCCGAGCGAGGGGAGTGCGGTCGGGCCGAGGGCAGTATGGGCCCTGCCACCCTCGCAAAAATTGACCTCAACGGGCCGCACTCATCGATGCTCGGCCCCAAGTCTTCCGACGAGCAGCTCAGCCACGTCAGACAGTCTTGAGGTTGCTTTTGACGAGGCTCGTGGGAGGGCTCGAGGGGGGCCGATCTGGATGGAGCGGATCTGGCCCGCGGGCCCGAGGTGTCTCGACCGTTGCCGCCCGAGGGGGGCCCTGCACGCTCTTCGCCTCCCGCGGCCGAGCGAGGGGCGCGGCCCCACGGCGAGTGCGGTCGGGCCGAGGCACGGGCTCGAGGTCGGCTCGGGGAGGGTGCCCCAGAGCTCTTCGTGCCTGTTTCGGGGGAGCGTAAGACCCGGGTTTGCCGGGACTCGGGTTCGCCATCGTTTTTTGACGACCGCGACTCGGATTTTGACGAGGAGGAGTTTCGTGGGATGTCTGCAGCGGGAGGCCTCGTCAAAATGCAGGCTCGGCCTCGTCATTTTTTTGACGACCTCGTCGGGGATTTCCGGGTCCCCTGTACCCAGGTCTTACGTTCCCCTGACTGTTGGGTGTTCTTGCTCCGGTCGGCCCCAAACAGGGGTCCATCGACCAGGGGGGTGGTGCAACAGATCTGGTGCAGTAGACGTTTGGGCTGCAACAGCTGTGAGGCGTGCCATACACTCCAGGGCGCACACGGGGCGTTCCAAGAAGGGCCCTGCCTTCGAAGATCGAGAGAGTTGTCATCCCTTCGGCGGCGGGAAGGCGGCGGAAGGTCGGCGGAAGGTGAACGAGGCCGCCTCCGCCGGCGGCGCCTCCGCCGGCGGAAGCCGGCGGAAGGCCAGCGGAAGGTGGCGGGAGTAAGAACATCGCCTCCAAGGGATGAGAGAACTTTTTGGGTTCAAGATTTCTGGAGTCGGCCAACTGTATTGCTGGACTTTCGCGTGCAATGCAATAACTAGCTGCACTGCAACGCTGCATTGCAATACAGCACAATTCTCCGGCGCAGCGCATTTGCAACACATGTTGCCTCACATATACTCCACCACCCCCTCTCGGCTGGACCCCCTTTTGGGCCGATCAGGCTTGTGCATCCTGGGGAGGGTGTCCTTGGATGTTCTGCGTCTCTTGTCGGCTGCGAGCGAGGAGGGAAGTGAGGAGCGGCGGGCCTTCTCAGAATGCTCGGAAGTCCCCCGGCCTTCTGAGAAGTTTTCTGAGCCTTCACCGAAGACACAGAAGACTTTTCAGGAAGTCCCGCCGCCTTCTGAGAAGGCCTTCTCCTTCTCATTTGCCCTCCTCGCTCGCCGCGTAGCTTTGACCTGCGGAGGATCTCATGATCTTGAAGGATGCCGGGTCCGACCGTACGAGAATGATTTGCAAGCAAGTTCACCTGGCGTTGCGGGTGGGTGGTTGTGCCAGGCAAGCGGGCGTGCACAAGGAAGCACCCAATGGATTGGGAGGGCAGCGAACCCGGCGCATGTAGGCGTGTGGGAGAGCGTCGAACCGTGGTTTAGGCATTGTTTCGGGGAACAAACGATGATGTTCAGGCAAATGTTCGGAGGTCTGCGCGGATTTCTGTAATCGGCGCTGGACCCTTCTCCATTGCGCGCGGAGCGCGCCAGGGGGGTCCAGCGCCGATCCAAGAGATCAGCGCGGACCTCCGACAGTTCATAATTAGTTTTGTCATCTCTTCTCCCCCGAAGGTTGGGTGCTGCAGTCATGGAACAAGCATTGCACCCCGGCTATTTTTCAAGGCCCATAAGGGGGCTGCAGATCCCGTGGGGCCCCGAAGTCGTGAGTTTCGGCTGGCACCGCGAAGCCAGGGCCAGCCCCGGTCCCTCCCCCCCCTCAGGGGCAACGTTTGGGTGGGAGATGGGTTCAGGGGGGGATGAATGTACGCACTCCAGTCGGGGGAGCGTAAGACCCGGGTTTGCCAGGACTCGGGTTCGCCATCGTTTTTTGACGACCGCGCCTCGGATTTTGACGAGGAGGAGTTTCGTGGGATGTCTGCAGCGGGAGGCCTCGTCAAGATGCATGCTCGGCCTCGTCATTTTTTTGACGACCTCGTCGGGGATTTCCGAGTCCCCTGTACCCAGGTCTTACGTCCCTCTGGTCCAGGGAAGCGTGCCGCACAACATTTGGATAGAATGCGTAATCTACTGGTGAAGGGTCGGACACTCAACATGTATGTCATCATGTCTGGGCCTCCAGGTTAGATGTTGCACATCACAGGTACGTGATACCATAGACGAGCCTAAACGACATGTAGAATGCACGAGCCTGTGTAATCTGGGTCTTCGGTACAAGATCCAGGATAAATCAACGAGTGGGTCATACATGTATGTTGCCACATCGCATACAATAATTACCTACATAGGTGTTCGGAATGTCATGCGAGGGCGGTGTGGCAGCACATGCGCCTGACTGGTATGGCCATACACAACACGACATGAGTGTGCTATACGATTGTTGGATTAAGCATACCCGAGCAATGCACTACCAGCATCTAGTAAGAAACACCCCCCCGCCAAGCTGGGTCTCAAACTAGTCCAATTCCAATACCGACTTCCGAAAAGCTGACCCAGTTTCTTGACTTCTGGATTATTGGCAGGATCTCCCGCCAGATCTTCCAAAGCGTCCGCCAGATCTCCCCTTAGATATCGCCCCAGATCTTCGCCCAGAAGCTCCTCCAAATCTTCTTCCGAATCCCCCCCCCATCGTCCACCAAATGTTCCTCCACATCTTTGCCCAGATCCTCCACCAGATCTTCGATCCAGATTTTCCTCCAGATCTTTCCCAGATTTTCATCCAGGTGTTCCTCCAGATCCCAGATCTTCCTCATATATCTCGCCAGCTCTTCCTCCAGATCTTCAGCTAGATCTCCCGCCAAGTCGTCGCCCAGATCTTCCTACAGATCTTCCCCAGATTTTCCGCCAGATCTCCCTGTCGATCTTCCACGAGATCTCCACGGGATCTTCTTCCAGATTTTCCTCCAGATCTTGCTCAGATATCTCGCCAGATTTCCCTGAAGAGCTTCCCCGAGATCTCCCCCCAGATCTTCGTCTGGAGTTTCCTCCAGATCTGTGTCCGGATCTTCCTCCAAATATCCCGCTAATATTGAATCAATTCTTCCTCCAGATCTTCGCCCAGATCTCGTCGCAGATCTTCGCCCAGATCTTCCTCTAGATGCCGAGGCTACAACTAAACAGTGTTTAGTTGTGTTTTGTGGATGTTGTCGTGTTCTTATTGTTGTCCGTTGTAAGCTCGTTCGGGAACACGTTGTGCACGTATTCTAAAAGCCCGTCGCGTGCCTGTCCGTTTTGTCAATGTGGCCGCTGTTTTGTTGGGCGTTTTGTTCTGGCGCGATACGCCGCACGTTTTTGTTTGCGTTGTGGCTTCGCGCGCGAGCCAGATGCTCATGTTCTGTTTTGGCACCCTGGTTGGGCCCGCAACTTCGTCGCACTTCGCGCAACGCGCGTCGTTCGTTTTCGTGGTCAAACCTGTTGCTCAGTGCTCAGCTTTCGTTGACCCAGGTCTCCCCCTAGATCTTCCAGTTCACGGTTGTCGGCATGCCCCGTCCTGCAGTTTCGTCGCGCAGTTTATTTTGTCGGTGACGTCGTTCATCCGAATATCTCTTTGGTCTTCCCCCCAGGGTTCAAACCATTAGGCCCGCATGCCCAGCATCGGGTTCGAGGACCCAGTCACCAAACTTGTCTTTAATCATTGGTTTGGTTCATGCCATAAGGTCGTCGCGCGGGACCTACTCAAAGACCTATGTTCAAAATACCGTCAGGTTTTCCCGACAGTCTCCCCCAGTAATCCTTCAGATCGTCCTCCACCACTTTCCCCCCCATTCAGATGTGTCATACGAGTCCCCCAGATTTTCCTCCAGATCTTCCCCCGTATCTTCCCCCCCCAGATCTTTCCCCAGATCCCCTTCGGATCTCGCCCCAGATCTCCCCCCAGACATTCCCCCAGATCTTCCCCCAGATCTTCCCCCAGATCTTCCCCCCCCGTGTCTTCCACCAGATCCCCCCCGGGTCTTCCCCAAGATCTTCCCAAAAATCTTCCCCCAGATTTCCTCCAGATCATGCCCAGATCTTCCCCCATATCTCCCTCCAAATCTTCTCCCAGATCTTCGTCCAGATCTGCCTCCAGATCTTCCCAGAGATCTTCGCCCAGATCTTCCTCCAGATCATTGCCCGGATCCCCCCTCCAGGATTTTCCCTTAGATCTTCCCACAGGTGCCCCATCAGATCTTATCCCAGATCTTCCCCCAGAATTGTCCCTGATCTTCCCCAACGATCTTCCCCCAGATCTTCCCCCCCGTGTCTTCCACCAGATCCCCCCCGGGTCTTCCCCAAGATCTTCCCAAAAATCTTCCCCCAGATTTCCTCCAGATCATGCCCAGATCTTCCCCCATATCTCCCTCCAAATCTTCTCCCAGATCTTCGTCCAGATCTGCCTCCAGATCTTCCCAGAGATCTTCGCCCAGATCTTCCTCCAGATCATTGCCCGGATCCCCCCTCCAGGATTTTCCCTTAGATCTTCCCACAGGTGCCCCATCAGATCTTATCCCAGATCTTCCCCCAGAATTGTCCCTGATCTTCCCCAACGATCTTCCCCCAGATCTTTCTCCAGATCTCCCCCAGATTTTCCTCCATATCTTTCTCCAAATCTCATCCCGGATCTTCGTCCAGATCTGCCTCCAGATCTTCCTAGAGATCTTCGCCCAGATCTTCCTCCAGATCATTGCCCGGGTCCCCCCTCCCGGCGCTTCCCTTAGATGTTCCCACAGGTGTCCCTTAGATCTTATCCCAGATCTTTCCCAAGATCTTCTCGTGGATCTATCTTCAGGCATTCCGGCAAAATTTTCCCAGATCGTCCTCCTGATGTTCTTCCAGATGTTTTCCCAGAGTTTCCCCCAGATGTTCCTCCCCCCGCTCCCGAGTTTCGTCCATATGCCCCCCTGATCTGACCCCACGCCACAGAGCTTAAGATGCGGCTACTTCTCGAGATGGCAGGCCTCGATTCTGTCCGTGAGGGCATGATCGAGGAGCTCTGCGACACTTTAAGGGAATACCGCGCGTGGGAGACACCTGGAGACGCCACAATGTCGCCTGTGAGCCTGCCAGGCCACTTCAACGAGGAAGTGGAGCGCCATCTGCTGTTCTCCAAGAAGCACTATACCTCTTATGTGTATGACCGTTGCATTAGATGGAGCGCAGGACAGGAAATCCCTGAGTGTTCTATGCACGCCACCTCTGATGCCCATGATCATCGCTGTGGCATTTACGAGCCAGCAGCACTTCTATACTATGACGGAGAAGGTGCCTTAACAACGATGCGGCGATAGCCGTTCTCCAGGAAGGGCGCCGAGCTTATGGTACGAGCTCCAGGTCAGCATGCGACCACCATCGAGCTTAGGAGCGGCATCCTACGCGGCACAATGTAAGTTTTGTAAGAAGATTTGACGAAGAGGTACATACTGATGCAAACCAAAAGGCTTCTCGCTGAGGCCCTGTTCGTTCGCAGTGCTCGTTTACATTCTACAGCGGCGCATCACCTTTCAAAGCGTTGCTTGGGCGCCAGCCAGCCGGCCTGCCTTGCCACGTATGTCGAAGATTTCTTCTCGCGCGAATTGGGGTCTGATAGTGCTGCCATGCGCACGGCGGTTACCTTCATTGCGGGCCTCGCTGCAGGGCAACCTGTCATTACCTTCGGTTACTCATCTGGTTCGCAAGGAGCTTGCGCATGACGGTTGGCAGCAAGATGGTTCTTTAAATCCAACTTGCAGTACAATGCCCCATTCGGAACTATTGGAGGACAGAGGATGTCGTGGGAGCACGTCTCGCTAGAATCGCTCACGAACTGCCGCACTTCGCGCGCGCGGACATCAGCGCGCCCGTGCAGGCGCCCACGCAGTACGATAGCGATGTAAACCCTTGAGTCACTATTACGCGGCAGACAGGTCCGCCATGCGTATCAGTGACATCGCGGGCGGCGCTTCACGCTTGTAGCTGGATGCGATGAGGATCTGGCCAAATTTCGGGAACTCGCAGAAGGCGGCTCGGGCAATGACCTGGGGAAGCGACCGCGGGAAAACGATGCCGGAGGCCCACTGGCTGGACCTGGCAGGGGCCGACCCCTAACGATCTTGGTGGTAACCGGGGAGGATTTGGACGTTCGCATTATGGAGGAGTGGCATGAAGACCTGAAGAACACACGGGTTAAAGCATGAAGAATTCCTTTGAAACCGCTCTGGCCTTACACTTCATGCTGTGCTGGCGCAATTGTACGAGGCGATTGCGCGTTAGTTTTTGCGATGTGCGACGAGCCAGGCGACGAGCCATGAAACTTGCTTGCTGGACCTGGAACCAGGTCAGACTACGGCCTAGACTCTTGCGCATCGCCACTGCCTCTACGCCAGTACGACAACAGCTGCGCGCGACAGACAAGTCGCCATGGGAAATGTGTGGCATCTGGTTTTACAGCGGACATGGTGATGGCCGTGCTTCCAGGACGACAAAGTCTGCTGTGCGGCAACTTGGACGCAGCCACTATACGCGCATATTTCACGACAGCGCCCAAAGGTGCAGCAGCTGAACAGGAGGGTGACTTTGTGACGGGGGCCCGGATTCAAGCGAATCGTCTGATGGTGTCTTCAAACGACTATATACAGAATTGCGCATCTAGCGCGATAGCGACTGCTTTCGCACGCGCTCGATGCAGCGGACGATTCGCTTCCGTTTCGATCTGGGGGGCCCCGTGGGCGTCGGGGCCGCCGACGTCGAGGCCTTCCGGAGCGGTTCGACGAGCCGTCCAGAAGCTGCAGTCGGACCGAGGTATACGATCGAGATCGGTTCGGGGAGGGCGCGCTAATGTTCAACGCGTTCGTTCGATGCCCCCGCGCGCCCAGGGGGGCGGGGGGGGGGCGCCGCTGGATTTTCTGTGCGTTTGGAGGGCGGGGGCCGGGGGGTCCTATGCGAGTGGGGGATGTTCTCCCGGCCCAGGATCGACTGCGTCGGCGAATTCGGCAGCGCGCAAGTAGGCACGGGTACTCGCGTCTCCAGACATAGAGGGGATCTTCCTCGGAGGCCCCACCAAGAAAGAGCTTGCAGAAGCAGCCCGAGAAGTGGGGGAGCCCAGCGCGCTTCGCGCCTCCTCCTGGCTCGGCTGCAGCCCCCCGAACATTGCCGGGCGTCGCGAACGCTGCCGAAGCGAGGCGCTGCCTCCAGCGCGCGGGGCGCGGCGCGGGCACCGAGGATGCGCCGCGAGCATTCTCGCTCAAGCTCAGGGGGGTCGCGCGCGGCATGAAATTACGACGAAGGAATCCGATGGGGGCCCGAACTTAGTTTCAGCCAAGCACGTCGACGACGCCAATGTGACTGGAGAAGAGAATCGCGCCAATCAGCGCGCGCAGTGTGCGGGGCAGACATCTGGACGATGTCAGTTTAGCTAGCGCACATGCACTAACGATGCCGCCAGTTAGTCCAAGTTTGCGGACGGCGACGCCACTTTGGATCAGAATGCCCTTGCCGAGCACCTACGACCGATTCAACGCCCCGAGCTATTTTGACCTGCACCCGAGGAAAAGGCCGCACAGACGGTGACAGACATGCTTACTAGCTCGCGGGGAGCATTGGCCTATCCGATGCTTTGGTCGCACAGGTTTGGCTCATAGCTTAGGCCGTCCCGCGCCGACGAGTTCAGGGGCCCGGGCGCGTTCGAATCAGGCCGTCGGACGCGGCGACCAAGCATCATTTTTCTCACCCGAAGATGTTAGTCTGCCCAGCCATGACACCGATGGGCGACGCAGCAATTCGCAGCGACTCTGGGTACCGATGTTTGACGGGCGATGCCGGCGACGAAGAGGAAGGATAGGGCATCCGCGGGGCAAGCCTGCCGCGGCGCGGCAGCGCGCTGAACGGCGCTGACGCGATCCACCTCGTGGACGCGCGCTGCAGGTCACGTCGGTTTCAGGTGCGTTCGACTCAGCGGAAACGCTTGCTGCGGCGCCTAATCTGGAGGACTCCCTCCTGGAAATTGACGCTGCGCGGGCTCGAGACGGGAAGGGGCATGTCCAACGTAGAGTTCAACAACTCATTAGAACGAGGTGGCTCACGTACACGGGCGTCCCTCACCATCGATGCTGAGTCTGTCTTCGCATCCGTGCGTCGTACGGAGCTGGAGAAGCCTACTGCGCGTAGCCTACTTGGCCACGTCAGTTGGATGCGACGCGTCGCGTTCAGGGCGCCATGCGCGCGACGCGACTGCAGGCGGGCGCACAAATGTCATTGACCGCGAGTTGTTGCCGCAGGGGGTGTCAGGACATCAACTGTCTTAGCATGAAACGAAGTCTGTGCCACATTGTAGTACAGTGCGCGCGCGCTTCCGCGCCCAGCCCCACGTTGCGTCGCGAGCTACGACGCGCGAGGCATGGCGACAAGCGCCCAGCAACGGGCGCCCGACGCCCGTTCTTTTGATGTTCAGGTGCTTGGCCGCAGGCACTGACCATCCGCGTCGTTTTGCGTTTCCTGGCGCGCGCGTTTTGCCTGAGTAGGATGGGTTGGCGACCCTCGGTCGCCTGTCCCGGGTGCGCCGCTTGCTACGCTTGGCAACAAGTTATTGACCCGCCCTGGATAGCTACACAGTCATGCATAGTAGGGGCGGCGGTTGGCCGACCAACGACTGCCCTCAGCGCGGAATGACCTTCGCTCGCTTCTTGCGTCGCCATGCGATTCGTTCTCGCCCCCTTCCGACTTGAAGAGGGAATTGCTTAGCTGCGTGGGCAAGCGAGGGGCGCGCCAGCAGCGAGCGCGTCCGCTGCCGTTTGTGTCCAGATGCCGACATCCGAGAATGATTTGTCCGCATAATTACGACTTGAGTACAAGAAATAGACTGATCGATCCTTAGATCGCCATGTCGTGGCGAGCCTCAATCGTGAGTCACGTTGTCGGTTCAGCGTTTATACAACCCTACGAGGGCTCGGTCCAACTAGAATCGAATCCAACAAAGACTAGATCCGGTGGCTCTAGCAGAATCCTACCAGGGCCGGATGCAGCTGCAATGTGATACCCCCCCTCCCCGATTCATTCGGGGACCCTTGCCCCGGGACAGCCGTTTCACCTCTATGGTTTGTTTTGTTTGACCGTCCCAGGGCCCGTCGTGCTTTTGTTCGCAACGCGGGGGTTTGAGGATCGCCTTCGATCCCGCTCAATCCTCGATCCTCCGTGGTGCGGCGGGCCGCCTCACCCCTTCTGTTGCTGGAGGCCTCCCAGACGGGGTCCGTGTAGGCGGGGTCGCAGCATCGTCGCCGCATCGTCGCCGCAACGGCGATGCAACGGCGATGCACTCGCGACGTCGGGGTGGAGAACAAAGGCTTCCACATCGAGCCACATTCCCCGATGCATCGGCGATGCGGCGCCGCCCTCGTGGCTTTTGTTCACACCGAGGGGACGTCAGGGTTATCCTTCTTCTTACGCCCTGCTCTTCCCTTCCCTGCGAAGGGATGCTACATCGAGGGAATGCCAGGGCTCCCTGTGTCATTCCTATTGTTCTTCTGTTTCTTCTGCCCTTCCCTTCTTCGTCGTTTTCTTATCTGGCTTCGTCTTCGTAGTATTTATCTGTTCCTTATTTGTCTCCTTCTTACCTTCCCTCCCCTTTCCTTCCCTTCATTTCCCTTGCCTTTCCTTCCCTTCCCTCCCCCTCCCCCTCCTCGTGGCGCCCGCGCCCTCGGCGCCCCGCGCCATCGGCGCCCCGCGCGCCCCCCGGCGCCCGAGGCGTGCCGCGTCCGCCCCGCGGGCCAGGGGCCTCCTGGGCGCTTCGCGCGCCTTCGCCACGAAGGACCCGAGCCCCGCAAGCCTCCAGTGCCTCCCAGACCGCCGCCGTCGTCGTCGTCGTCGCCGTCGTCGTCGTCGTCGGTTTCTCACCACTTACCAGACCACCCCAACCCAACTCGAAGGCCTCAAGTTGCCCTCCATTTCCAGTGGGGGGGGTCGAGGAACGTTGAAAAAACACATGGAACCCGTACCCCCCCCAACCCGAAATTCGGGTCAAATTCGGGTCTTCGGGTTGGGTTGGGGTGGTCTGGTAGGTATTCAGTTTCGAACGCTTCCAGAGACTCGGAGGCGACGATCGGGGCGAAGAGCCCAAGGGGAGAGCAATCAAGACCTCCGAGGGCATGATCTTTCAACAGGGCGGTGCTTCATCGACTTCGGCCTCCAGGGCCCGTTATCGGGCCCGGGGGTGATCAACAGTGGGTCTGGGCCGGAAAAACCCGGGGACGGGGTCGGGACCTCCTGGGGCTGCGGATTTAGAAATATCGTCTCGGAGGATGTTTGGGCATCCATGGGGAGGAGGGGGGGGGGGATGGGGGTGGGCCTTCCTTCCTGATTTGCGCTGCCGCGGAATAGGGCACCTACTCTATATGCCCTGCTGGGCCACCACTCTTTCCTGCTCCTTCTGCATTACGTTACCTGCTCCTGTCCGCGGCTTCATTTGTTGCTTGCTTCGCCCAAGTCGGTGATATGGTTTTCCACTCACGCACGAACGCTCCAGCCAATCAGTCTGAGTTTGCCCAGGAGGGAGGAGGGAGGCGGAGGGAGGAGGACAGGGAAGGAGGGAGGAGGAGGATAGGGGAGGAGGGAGGAGGAGGAGGAAGAGGAGGAGGAGGAAGACCTGTGTAAACCCAAGATGCATCAACGATGTTATAGTAAGGCCTCCCTCCAAGTTCTCTGTTCACAGGTCCCCACAAGAATGCGTTTTCCTCTGACTTCAGCGCCGCGAACCAACGTTGATGTTGCGTCCTGCGATCCTGAATCGCGCCAGAACCCCGTTCCTGGGACCTCAACACCGCGAATCAGCGTGCCTGTTGCGCCCTGACAGTCTTAAATCGTGCCGGAACGCTTTCCTGCGTCCAATTGTTTGAAGATTGGTGTAAACGTTGAAGACGATTGTTCGCGGCGCTCATGGCGAGAGCCACATCTTGAAAACCTCCCGCCGCCTTCCACCCTTGAAACTCCTGCAGTCTTTTCAGACGAGTGTGCGCGGCGAGAGGGCGGGAACCACATTTTGAAAACCACCCACCCTCCATCATGAGGAAAATCCTTGGGGCCTCGCGCGGCGCGTAATAGTAGTATGATCTAGTCCATTTGTCAGTCCCGTAAGCTATGGGTCGACGCTCGCGCGGCGATGCTCCAGTCCGACGTAAATCCGACGTAAATCAGACGTAGTCCGACGTGAATTCGACGTGAATCCGACGTGGATCCAACGTAAATGGGGTCTCAAGTTGCCGCGCGAGGCCTCCAGAGTTTTCTTCATAACCGCAACCCGTGAGACTCCTTGCACACTGCTCAAGCGGGTGTGCGCGGCGCTCATGCGAGAGCCACACTTTGAAAGCCACCTTCTGCTCCTCCTCCTCCTCCTCCTCCTCCTCCTCCTCCTCCTCCTCCTCCTCCTCCCCCTCCTCCTCCTTCTCCTCCTCTCCCTCCTCCTCTCCCTCCTCCTCCTCCTCCACCTCCTCCTCCTCCCCTCCACCTGCTCCACACCGAAGGTCGAGCAGCAAAACGCCGAAGGCGGAGGGGGGGGCAGCGGGGCCGTGTGACGGCGCCCCACCCGACGCCCCCCACCAGACGCCCCGCCCGGCGACCAGAAGCAGCACCGCGTGCCCCCTCGGCTGCGAGAGGCAGCAGCGCTGCCACTGTACCACCAGCTGCCCTGCCACCAAAGCGGGGACCAGCACTTTTTTTACCATGCGAATAGGGCGCCCCACGGGTGAGGAGAGAGGGATGAGGAGGGAGGGGGGAGGGGAGATGCACCGAATCAACTGATTAATGCGGCGGCCCGGGCCGGGCCAGCAGGTGCGCGCGCAGGGTGGCGCGCCAGGCCTCCGCGCCACGCGGTGAATGGCCGGGGCCACTCCAAGCGACCAACACTGGGGCACACTCCTCGCCCGCCCTCGTCCTCGGGCCGCGCGGCTCACGGCGCCCCGCGGCCAGGGCGAGGCCGCCACGCAGCGACGAGCCTCAGGGCGTCACAGGGGCTGCGCGGCATGCCCAGCAGCGCCCTTCCGCCCACCCCGACGCAGCGTGCCAGCTTCGGCACCCTCCCCGCCCCGCGCCCCGCTGCGGCAGCGGGCAGCGCGACAGCCACCACACAGCCGCCCTCGTCCGCACGCGCAGCGGCCCCGGTCGGCACGCGAAGGCACTTTGGACCACCAGCTCACCTTCGACACGAGGTCCGCCTCGGGGGTGCGCGCGGCCGTCCTTCAGGAGGGAAAAAAACACAGACACAATTTGTCGTCGACCCCCAGGAACATATGGGAAAATATGGGACGTGGGGGGGAATACAAAAACCCAGAAAATATGGGGAATTCTTTTCTTCGTGTGTATTTATTTGTTTGTTTATTTGTGTGTCCCAGGGCCCCTTCAGTCCTCTCCCACAGGGGGAGAGGACGGCAGCCCCCGAGGAGGTGAGCTGGGCCCGCGGCAGGCACACCCCCATGCGCGGAAGGGCCGACTCTCCCTCCCTCTTTTTTCCCCTCTCCCCTTCCGTCCCGCTCCTCGCTTCCCCCTCCCTCCGCTTGCCCCAGGGTCGGGGGGTTCGTCGGCCTTTCCCCTTGTTTCGGGGCCCTCTCTCTTTTTCCTGTCCCGCCTCCTTTCGACGTGCGTCGGTCCCGGCCCGTTCGTCGGTCGCCCGTTCGTGCCCCTTTCGCCCTTTTCCTTCCGGGCCCCTCGTCCGTCTCTCCCTCTCCGTCCCTCGCCGGCCCCCTGACCGGAGATCAGCCCATTTTCGGAATGCTCCCCGCCTGCTGTGCCATTCTGCACACGCAGGCCAGGACCACGGGCAGCGTTCGAAGAACACCAGTGCCGCCAGCGTCTCAGGAGGAGGAGGTGGAGGTGGAGGAGGAGGAGGTGGAGGTGGTGGAGGAGGAGGAGGAGGAGGAGGAGGAGGTGGAGGAGGAGGAGGAGGAGGAGGAGGAGGGAGAGGCCGCGTGAGCGCCGCGCCGCCCCGGCCACGGAGGAGATCCGCCACGGCGACGCGGCGCGAGCTGGCATGCTCGCGGGCGCGAACCGGCTCGCCGACGCGGTGGCGGTGACGCTGGGGCCGAAGGCGGGGCGCAGCGCGGCCGCTCCCTCGGTCAGCAGAGGCCCGCATGTCGTCAGGAAGTCCATGGGGGCCTGGTAGGCCCTCTCGATTTCATCTTTAGCGTCGGCTAGCGCTTGGGAGTCGCTGAGAGAGCGCCGATGTAGCCTCGGCTAGCGTCGATGAGCGTCTATCTAGCGTCGACGAACGTCGATTCGCAAGAGCCGACAGGATGGTATGCGAGGCTGCCATGAGTCGCCACCGAACTACATCGCGGTGAAGAAAGTTCTCATCACCCCTGGCTCGCGATGACTGCGATTCGGCAGAGTCGGCGGAGCAGTATCTACTTGGAGGTTCGGCTGGGGGTCTGAGGTGGCCCCGCACTGGCTTACGGCCAGCAGGAAGTGCGGGGGGGAAAAAGTTCCTGGTTCCGGGTTCGAGGGTTTTTTCCCAACCCTGCAGCGTTGGGCACTCGATTTGGATAAAGCACAGCGCGCGCGTCTCCTCCGCCTTTCGCCTCCTTCCTCCTCTCCTCGTCTCTCCTGCCTCTCACATCGCTCCTTGTAGCCACTTTAGTGGGCTGCTGTGGGGTCCAGCGGAGCGACGTCTTACGCGGACCACCAGGAGTCCTCGCCATCCCTGGGGGGCTGCGATCTCGCCATCCCTGGGGGGCTGCGATCTGCGAAACAGTCGCCGCTTTCGAGGGCTGCTGGGGAGTCCAGCGGAGTGACGTCTTCTGCGGACCACCAGGAGACCTCGGTATCTTTGCGGGTCTGCGATCTGCGAAACTGTCGCCACTTTGGAGGCCGCTGGCGGGTCCAGCGGAGCGACGTCTTACGTGGACCACCAGGAGACCTCGCCATCCCTGGGAGGCTACGATCTGCGAAACTGTCGCCACTTTAGAGTGCTGCTGAGGGGTCCAGCTGAGTGACGTTTTACGCGGACCACCAGGAGACCTCGGTATCTTTGTGGGTCTGCGACCTTTGAAATTGTCGCCACTTTCGAGGGCTTCTGGGGGCCAGCGGAGTGACGACTTACGCGGACCACCAGCAGACCCCGCCATCCCTGGGGGGCTACGATCTGCGAAACTGTCGTCGCTTTAGAGGGCTGCTGGGGGCCATCGGAGTGACGATTTACTCGGACCACCAGGAGACCTCGCCATCCCTGGGGTCCTGTGGCCGTCCCATCTCACGTGCCGAAGTCCTGACGTCCACGGCTTGCACCATGCTTCGCGGTGTCATTGTCCACGCCGGGTTCAAGGATGAACAGGAAGTTGATGACCTTTGGTTCCATCTCTACGTGATGTTGTCCAGGGCAACTACCGTGGACAACCTCCTAATGATGCGCAACCCCTGCCTTGATTTCCTGGCCCGCGGGCCGCCCGCAGACCTGGCTGCGCGCCTTCGAGCGTTTAGCTCCCGCACTGAAAAGTGGAGGAAGGAAGCATCTAATCTGGCGGGCGAGCTAGGCCTCGCTCGCTTCTTGCATTAAGTATAAGCAGTTTTAATTATGTGTTCGAACGCCGCGGCGACATGGCGCAGGCAACGCTGCGTCTTGAGCGTGATACCCACAAAAGCAACACTCTTCGGTCTCCCCCCGTCACTTTCGTCGTTGTCCTCTGCCCCCTGCCACCTTCCCTCCGCTGCTGCCGCGCGGACGGTTCGCCCCCCCCCCCCCCCCCACACACACACACACACACACACACACGCGTCCTGCTCATGCTCTTCGTTCCCGACCCCATGTCCTCCTCAATCCTGGGCCTCGCTCCTCGTCCTTCTGATGTTGTCCGGTGAACCGTGCCACTCGAGCACATCCCATGTATCTCGCACAACATCTAACGGCGCCTGCACTGTCACTGTCCTGGCCAATTTCGGCAAATTTCTCTTGTCACGTGATGCCTACGGGTTGGGTACGTCACAGGGCAATGTGTTCCCAACCATCCTGTGGTATTGTGTCCATGTCCACGCTTTGCAGAGACAGCGCCCCGCGTTCTCTTCCCGCCTTCCTCCCGCTTCCTCCCTCCTACCATCCTTGCCTCTGCCCTCCACATGTCCATGCCAGTACACCACTCGCACGCGTCTTGGCCCTACAGGGAGCTCCACCGGAGGGCCAAATAGCAGGGTCCACATGGCGGCGCCGCCCCTTTTGGCGCACCCCTCACACAGCTCGTGGCGACATAGGGAGCTCCACCAAAGGCCCAAATAGCAGTGTCCATATGGCGGCGCCGCCCCATTCCTGCGCAACCCTCACACGGATCGTGGCTCCATAGGGAGCTCCACCGAAGGCCAAAATAGCAAGGTCCACCGGCGCCGCCCCATTTTGGCGCACCCTTCACACGGCTCGTGGCCCCACAGGAAAATCCATCGAAGGCCCCAGCGGCAGGGTCCACATGGCGGCGCCGCCCCATTTTGGCGCACCCCTCACACGGCTCGTGGCTTCATAGGGAGCTCCACCGAAGGCCCCGGCGGCAGGGTCCACATGGCGGCGCTGCCCCATCCTGGCGTACCCCTCACGGGGGTTCGTGGCTGCATGGGGAGCTCCAGTCCCCAGCGGCAGGGTCCACATGGCGGCGCCGCCCCAGTTTGGCGCAGACCCCACACGGTTCGTGGCCCTAAGGGAGCTCCACCGAAGGCTCAAAAAGCAGGGTCCACATGGCAGCGCCACACCCATTCTGGCGTACTCCTCGCGAGCGTCGTGGCCCCATAAGGCCAGAGTAGCAGGGTCCACATGGCGGCGCCACCCCATTTTGGCGCACCCTCCACACGGCACGCAGCCTCATAGAGAGCCCCACCGCATGCCCAAATAGCAGTGTCCCCATGGCGGCGCCGCTCCATTTTTGGCGTACCCCTCACACGGTCCGGGGCCTTACAGGGAGTTCCACCGAAGGCCCCAGTGGCGGAGTTCGCACGGCGGTGCCGCCCCATTTTGGCGCACCTCTCGCACGGGTCGTGGCCCCACAGGGTTCCAGCAAAGGCGGCGCCACAACACGGTATTTACAATTGCACATGGATGGGTCCTTCGCCGGAATGTTGTTCGGTTATTTGCCGCAGCAGCGATCACACATAAAGACATGAGGCCCAACACTGCGCTCTCCCCGTTCATCTGGGGGGTGCCCCTTTCCAGAACCCGAGACGGGCTCTTACCTGCTGGCCTGAAGCCGAGCCGGCTGGCACCGCCGAGGCCTCGCCCAGTGGCCACCCGTGGGCGCCCCGCGCGCCGACTCGGTGCGCCGAGGCCTCGGCCTCGCGGGGGCGGAGCGCGGCCGCGCTCTCGAGCAGCATGGGGGGGGCCTCGGGGGCCGCTGGGCGGCGTGGCGGCCACGCCGCGCGGTGAGTCAGCGGGGCTTCGGGGCGCGGGCCTTCTTCGAGTACAGTAGGGGTCGTGAAGAAGGAACCCTTTTCGTTGGGGAGGGGCTCCGTGTTCCTTGATTGTTTCACAGCTTGCCTCAGGCTTTCCTTATGTTTTCGACAGGGTATCGAAGGCTAGCTTATGGAAAAAAGGGGCCTCGTTCCTTATTTAGGGTTCCTTAGGTCAACGCCCCGACTGTAGGGGATCGACCGCAGAACTTTAGGCCTCCTGGATGGGGTCGGAGCAGGTGGGGTCTGAGGATCGCGCGGTACGGCTCGATGCGGAGCCCGATTCTCCCCACGCCGACGTCGCCGACGCGTCGCCGACGTCACTGATGCATCGCCAATGCATCGCCGATGAATCGGCGATGCATTGGCGATGCGGCGCGATCCTCCGACCCCATTTACTCAGACCCCATCTAGGAGGCCTCTAGAGTAGGGAATCGACTGCCTGTGTCGAACCCAGAGATTTGGTCACGACTTTGCCGCGATCGGACACATTCGCTGCGCCCGTTTCGGTCACAATCGGCTGGAGCAGGTTCGGTCACTGCACACACTGAGAGTCACCACCCACCAAAGCACCCCAATCCGACCCGAAGGCCCAATTCGCCCTCCATTCCCATTGGGGGGGCGTCGGGGAACATTGAAACAACACATGTGGAACCCGTACCCCCCCCCCCAACCAGAAAGTTGGATCTTCGGGTTGGATTGGGTTGGTCTGGTAGGTAGTCAGAGAGAGGGGCGCGGCTGCGCGGGAGTTCTCCCGATCCGATGTTGTCCCGAGCCTGGCCTCGTCTTAAGCATGCCGCTAACGGGGCGCTCCTGGGCCACAGCGCCCTCGCAGCAACCAGCAGCCTACCGCAGCATCCGGCGCCGTGTCCTATGGAGCGCCTCCTTTTCGCGGACCGTTTCGTGAGCCCTTGGGCTCGGGGAAACGTGAGACACGAATGGGCAGGAATTCGGGTCTGTCGACGCTTTTTGACGAGCCGGACATGGATTTTGACGGTGCAGATTTCGTGGGATGTTTGCGGCGGGAGTTCGCGTCAAATTTCAGATTGTGTCTCGTATGTTTCATGATGGCCCCGTCAGGCCAACCCGAGTTCCCCCGAACCCGAGTCTTAGGTCTCGCCGGCTTCGGCGTTGCCTCACACCCTGTCCCTTTCTGCTCACTCGCGTTCCCTGACACCTTCTCGTTGCGATGGAAATTCCGGCGCCAGGGTTGTTGCGGAGATTCATCCTCGGGTTTCAGGGGCCCCCCGCGGGCCCCGAGACGACCAAAACACGATCAGCGGGAGGACGCATTGTCTTGGGGAAGGAGCTTCGGTTTTCGGGGAGCCACGTGGTAAAAAGCCACGGGCCCCCTGGGCAAGCAGCAAGATCACGCAGCCGGGGCCCACGAGCAGGCCAGCCCTGTGTAAGGTCACGGGTGGCCTCGCCGGGCCCGCTCCGAGCCGATCCAGCCGCTCCGAGCTCGACTCCGGCCCAGCCCAGTCCGATTCGACGCTTAGCCCGACGAGCCCACGTTGCCCGATGCTTGCACGGCGCTGTCGCGCATCCCGGCTGGCTCGATCGAGTCGCTTCGACTCCGGCCCCGTGCCGTCGTGGCCCGATGCGACGGATGCTCCGACTCGAGCCGATTTCAAGATTCGGTGTGGATCGATCTTGCCCTCGTGCCCTCTCGGCCGTTTGGGCCTCGTGCCGGCAGGTCCTCGGCAGGCCTGTTGGGTCCTCGGCTCTCATCCCTGCCAGCGTCCCTCGCCCTCCGCTTCGCTGCCTCTGCTCCGCGTCCTCTGTCCTTCGACTACACGTAAGAGTGACCTTTCGCCGGAGTGACCTTTGGTGCGGGCTCATCGGGCTCCCCCCTATCGCCGAGCGCGATGCGATATAAGCGGCCCGCGCCCTTGGGTTTGGCTCCCTCGCGCCCGCAAAATCTGCGCACAAAAGGTCACTCTTACCCAGGTTCACTCTTACGCCTAGCCGAGTCCTCCCTGCCTCCCGGGCTGCACGCCTGGAGGGCCGGAATGTGGTCATCGAGCAGTCGTTCGGGGCGCCGAAGGTCACCAAGGACGGCGTCACTGTCGCGAAGGCCATCGAGTTCAAGGACAAGATTGCCAGCGCCTTAGGACTCGCCTCGGGGCACCCCGTGGTGAGAGTGGTTACGGTGGGGACGTTCGTTGAGGAACGCGCTCCGGCCGGAGGATCTCGTATGGTCGAGCATGTGATTAAGAAACTTGCTCCCCGGAAGTTGGGCCAGCGTTTCTTAACCAACTTGCTGGAAAGCTGGACCACTTTCTTGATCGCGGTTGCCCTTCCAGCGTTAACACGAGAATTTGGCCCAGGCTTGTCTTAGAAGTTGGCCCAGATGTTTGAATTCAAGATTTGCTTGATCATAATTTCGGCTGTACCTAATTAGGGCGGTTGTGATATCCACGGCTAATCCACGATTGGAGTCCCCACTGGTTGCCAGACCCTGGGGTCCTCATCCAATGGTTCCTGATAAAATGCCCTCACCGTAACCCTGCCCCCAACAATTCTTTGATTGAGGTTCGCACTGGGGGCGGATAACAGCGAACATGCAGTTCACAGACGGCAAGTGAGCTCGATGCGGTTGGTAGGCAGGCACCGTGATCCAGGTCAACTGAGCTTTTAAAGTTATTGCCAACATATGAGCATTCCAGATCTACAGTGGAAGTGAAAGGTAGAATGGCCACAAGGTTAGAGGGAAGGCAATCACAAGAGGATGGGCACAGCTCAAGAACGGCGACGACGTGAGGTATAGACACTGCTAGAACTGGAGCGCTCCCCCCGCGTTAACACACTGCTGTGACCACTGTGCCACGGCGCGCACGCGAAGCCAGGCCCCCGACGACGTCATTTCCTCACAACGCGGACCCTGGAGGCCTCGCCCCACCCTGAATTCCTGGCGACTCCAGTTCTTCGACCCGGGGGGTTTTCGTTCAAGTTCGGGCCCTGGGACCCTCGTAGATCGATCCGACTCGAAAAAGGACGCAGAAAGATGGGGTCTGGGGGCCCGGTCTTGATTTGGTGCGATGTTGCATGTGTTTGCAGCGTCGGATCTCGGGGCATGCCCGGGACCGCTTCGCCATCCGGAGTCGTCTTGGCGAGGGCCCCTGGCTGCCGGGAGCAGGAGCAGAAGATTTCCGCCTCGGTCTTGTTCACGACGCAAGGGGGCCTGGAGGAGGAGGAGGAGGAGGAGGAGGAGGAGGAGGAGGAGGAGGAGGAGGGCGTCGAGAGGACGACGGGCGTCGGAGGAGGAGGAGGAGGAGGAGGAGAGGAGAGGAGGAGGAGGAGGAGGAGGAGGAGGAGGAGGAGGAGGAGGAGGAGGAGGAGGAGGAGGAGGAGGAGGAGGAGGAGGAGGAGGAGGAGGAGGAGAGGAGGAGGAGGAGGAGGAGGAGTGGGAGGAAGAGGAGGAGGAGGAGGAGGAGGAGGAGGTGGAGGCGGGGGAGGAGAAGCTGGAGGAGAAAGGCCGGCGCGCTGCTGTCCTCTCCGTGGCGGGCTGCCCGTCGCCCGACGTGTGGTGCGATCGGGAGGGGCACCGAGAGGGCCCAGCAGGGCGGCGCACGTCGGGGGGCTGTTGTGCCATGGGGGTCGCGGCCACACGCAGAGGCGGGGGGCGGGGGTGCAGTCGGACCGAGGTCTGAGAGCGAGGTCGGCTCGGGGAAGGTGCCCTAATCGAAGAAGAACAACAGAACGTGAACGTAAACTTTTGGCGCTCCGCGCGGATTTCTTGGATCCGCGCTGGGCTTCCGACAGTTATTGGTTCTACGGCTTTTTGTTGTCCTAAAGATCGAGGTCGGCTCGGAGAAGGTACCCTGATGTCCTTCGTGTTTGTTGGGTAGTCTTATGCATCCAGGGGATGGTACCCTCGGATTTTCTGTGTGTTTGGGCCAGCGGAGGGTCTCGCGTCCTTGAAGAAGGATGTTTTTCTGCCCTAGGTCCGACTGTAGTGGGAGGGGGAAAAGCTCTTTAGAAACGCGGGCGCGGTCCTTATCCATAGATGTAAGGCCCGCGCCTTCTAAGAAGCAGCCCCCTAAGAGGCCTTCCCCCCTCCCCCGACCCTCTTGTGCGCGGCGGCGACGACGACCCTCGGATCTGAGGTTACAAGGAAATCGCAGTATCGTAGAAAACCACCACCAGAGACCAAGACCCCATCTTTCTGCGTCATTCTTTCGAGCCAGATCGATGTGTGAGGGTCCTGGGACCCGAAACTGGGCAAGATTGCTCGCTGTGAAAAAACTACACCGCCTGGATCTGAGAGGAGGAGGAGGAGGAGGAGGAGGAGGAGGAGGAGGAGGAGGAGGAGGAGGAGGAGGAGGAGGAGGAGGGGACCCCCCTGGCGGGCCAGGCGAGCGCGTGGAGCGAGCGCGGCTCTCAGGACGCGGCGCCGCAGAGCGCAGCGAGAGCACGCACTGCGCGCTCTCGCTGCTCTCCGCTGATGTCTGCGCCTCGCGGCACGCGGCACGGGTCACCGGGGATTGCAGTGCGAAGTTCTTCGCGCCTCCTCCTCCTCCTCCTTCTCCTCCTCCTCCTCCTCCTCCTCCTCCTCCTCCTCCTCCTCCTCCTCCTCCTCCTCCTCCTCCTCCTCCTCCTCCTCGCCTTCGGGCTGCGGGGCTGTGGGCGCGGCGGAGTGCGCCCCACGCGGGGCGCGGGGCAGGGCGGCCCCGCTCGAAGAGCGTCGGGGGGGCCCAAGCGGTGTAGTGACGACGTCACTGCGGGACGGGAAAATGACCACAGCCATTGCTTCTTGTTTGCGCCGGCTGCCAGCCGACCGAAAAAGAAGCAGTGGTTGTGGTCATTTCCCTGGTGCCAAGCTCAACGAGAATGGCCACAACCACTGCCTTGCTTCTGCGGGCTGGAAGGCGGCAACAAAAGAAAAGCAGTGGCTGTGGTCGTTTTCACGCCCCGTAGCCACACAGGGTCCGTGCCGATCCGTTTCGACACCGCTTCCGGCCCGCCCGATGCGATTCGATCCCGATGCTCTTTCCATCCGATTTGGCCCAAGGATTGCATGGCGCTGTTCTGTGCACCCTGGCGCGGCCGATACGATTCGATTGCGGCTCCGTGCCGATGCGGCCCGAACCGTCTCGTATCCGAGCCAGCTTTCTGATCCGATGCTGCCGATGCTGCAGTGCGGGGAGTCCGTGAGGCTTCGGGGTCGCCGCACGGCTCTATCCGTCACGTGCTGCGCGCTCCCTCCGTCGGACGGGGCCAGGACGAGGACAAGCCCGTTCGGGAGCGTTCTGGAGAGCTTGCAGAGCGCCTCGAGAAGCCCACGGCGCCCTGGGCACCCTCCAGAAGCGCCAGATGTCAGAGATCCCCGAGGTGTCCTCACCCGATGTTGGCCTCGTCCTGGCCTCGCCTGCATGCGGTGAGTCGGTGGGGCTTCGGGGTCGCCGCACGGCCCTCTCCGCCGCGCACCGCTCGCTACCGTCCTCCAGAGGCCACCCACCGAGCCGAGGCGCGGCCCGCCGCGCAGGCCAGGCGCCGAGGCTCTGCGCGCGAGCGGCTCCCCAGCTGCAGCGGCGGGCTGGCCCCCGCGTGGCTCCGGGCTCGCTCCCCGGTGCATCGCCCGGGCTCCATCGCTTGCCAGCTCGAGCCCCAGAGATGCGCAGCACGGGGATGACCGCGGCGCTTGCTGCAGTCAGGGGGGCAGGCGGCCTTGGACGGGGACGGTATGGTGGGTTATGTGTTCGCAGGTTCCCCAAGCGGTCAGGGGGGATCACGACCCCAACCAAGTGGGTTCCGCCCACTTTGCGGAGGGATATAACCCCTCTGAAGCACTTAGGGCACGTGTAACTTGCCTGTAAGAGCTAGGTTAGGCCAGATATACCCACCTTGGCATCAATTTCTACCCCACCTATCCCCCTAGCAACCGCCGAGGTCATCTCAGCACTCTCCGTCACTTCTCGCTCGCCCCTCCCTTCCGGCACAAGCCCAGCCGAGACACCGCTCGCCGTGCAGCCCAGGCGCCAGAGCTCCGCGCGCGAGCGATTCCCCTGCCGCGGACTGGCCTTCGCGTGGCTCCAGGCTCGCTTCTGCGCGTCCCCCAGGTGTCCATCGCTCGCAGTAGGTCGTGGTTCTCGCCATCATCGCTCGCAGTAGGTCGTGGTTCTCGCCATGAAGGAAACGGGTCCTGAGGGGACCAGGTCCTGAGGTGTTCCACCGTTTTTGGCTCCCCGGAGTCCTCCACGGGCCCCGGGACTGCCAAAAAGCGACTCATGATGAAGAGTTGGTCCTGGAGAAAGGCCTGGATTTTCAAGGACTTCCTCCACCTCCTCCTTTCCTCCTGACTTCTAGTGTGTCTCGCATTGCATGTATCCAGACAAGCCAGATTCTCGAGACCAGGGGCTCACCCACCTGGTCTGAGCTAGGCCCGGACACTGTCCGCAACGGTGGTCGCATCGCATCGCATCGCACCCGTTTCCCTCAGGACCCGTTTCCTTCATGCCAAGGTTCTCGGGGGTCTCCAACCCGTGAATAGACCTTGTGGGAAGTCAGTGGGGGTTCGGGATCATTCTTACGTCTTCATCGGTTCCTGAGGGGGGTCCTGCCTGCGGATGCGTTCCAGCAGCTGCGCCTGCGCCCGGATCGTCCCGAACGGCCCAAACATTCGGAGGAGGGTAGGAGTGGTGATCGGTGGTGATTCGGGGTCACCACGCGGTTTTGGGATTGGGGTAGTTCTCCGAGGATGTCTGGCGACTGGGGCCTCCAGGGTCCCCAAGCCGTGCGGTGACGGAAAGCGCGGCGATGTCCTTCTGAATTTCGAGGTCACCGCACGGTCTGTCGCCACACGGTTTTGGGACCCCCAAGAGGAGGGGTAAAGACCTTGACGTCTTCTCGTTGCGGAAGCTTCGCGAGACTGGCCCCAGCAAGTCTAGGCCGTTCGTTTTCCCTAGCAGGCCATGCACAAAACGTCACCCGATTTGCCCTTAGATACCCCGACATGCACGATCCCACGCGCAGTGGTCCAACACGGGGCAGGCTCAGCGAAGTATCTCGTGTGGATTGTAGTTAAGCCAGCTGCAGCGCTCCTCCTCCTCCTCCTCCTCCTCCTCCTCCTCCTCCCTCCCTCCTCCCTCCCTCCCTCCC